ATGATTTGATCACTCAATTGCTCCCGGCTGGAGGGGACACACTAAAATTGGATTTTGTGTATGAAAAAATAAAATCGTGGGCGTGGGCTGCTTAATTTCAGTGCATATTTTTTCTAGGGCGGAAATTAAAGTTAGAGTTGACGCCGGGAGGGAGGCAAGATGGACTCCTTTGGCGAAACGGAATTGGATGGAGTGGACGTATGCGGAACGGGACAATTGTAAACGAGTAAAAAACGTGAACGAAAATGCTAATGACGAATACGAACTGCAAGATCGACCCACTTATTTTACGGATATGTGCCGTTGTACGAAGAAGAAATATGCACCTTTAACCGGCTATGAACCCAGCTTAGAATCAGATAAACCTCTGCTGCCAATTCGCGATTTGCGCAATTCCTATTATCCATCGGACCCTATGGATGACTGTTATGAGTTGAAATTGTATGCTTTTGAAAAGCCCGACAAAATATGGGTGCGGTTGTGGCTGAAAGAAAAAAATTGTCGCTACACCAAACAAGTGGGCAATGTTAAGTATAGGCAGAAACCAGTGTTTGGAAATTGTGGGGCCATTACGGCATTGGATTCAGTGGGTCTTCCTTTCGGAATGTGGCTTCCAGATGCACCAAAAGATTGTCCTAATCCGAATGCTTGTATAGATAATAATAAAGCCAGAGTTATACACAACACAACATATGGATCGGAGATATGTGGAAAACCACCAGGCTACGAAAAGATAGATCGGGTATAAGTTTGACACATATTTGTTCGAGTTATGCATATTTGAGAATTTTTGTCTTCGAAAATTAGTGGCAACACGTACGGTTGAAAAACCATGACTTTTGGAAGCTAGGGTTTACTGACCTGAAGAAGGAGTGCTTCACGGACTCAGCCCAAACTACGCCATGCGACGGAATATCGTGGATCTTGAAGTTTCAAGCAAACTACTTGACATCGGAATTTGTCAAAAACTTTCAATTTCAGTAAATTCCTTTAAAACATTGCATTTGTGAGTTGTTTTAAATTTCTCGTAATTTCTCAGTGCCGAGGTGCAGATTGTCAGACACACAGGAAAGGATATCAAGGTTCCTTTGTTTTATGCTGATCCACTTGCCTGGTTTTATCCGGAAGTTGTTGTTATACGATCACCCGTCTATGAAGCGAAGATTAGCAGCAGAGGAATAATTCTGGAAACACCAAAGGAGATACGAAAGCCAGATGTGCATATTCATGCACTGTACAAACATTGGCAAAATACGGACAATTGCAGAGGCCTTTTTAAACCTCAACCAACTACGACAACTACTCCAACTACAACCACGCCAACGACTACAACTACTCCTACAACTACAACTCCAACAACAACTACAACTACTCCTACAACTTCAACCACGCCAACGACTACAACTACACCAACAACTACAACTTCGCCAAAGACGACAACCACGCCAACGATTACAACTACGCCAACGACCACAACTACTCCAACAACTACAACCACGCCAACAACTACAACTACGCCAACGACTACAACCACGCCAACTACTCCAACAACTACACTGAGTACAACAACTCACACAACTACACCAAAACCACCAACCCTGTTAGACTTCACTCTATGTCGCCATTTTCGCCCCGATGTTCCAATTTACAATAGGAAGTTAACATTTGGCAAAGACATCACGCTTCTACCCGCTGATCAAAAGTTCAAAGATTGCTTCACATTGGAGGCCTTTCCGACATCCCTTCCGTACGCGCTGCATGTCCAATTTCGTCAACATGCGAATACAAATCCGGCCTGCGCTGACCTTTCTGCGTCAGAAGTTGCCTTTCAAGCCGTCAATGAGCAAGGATATCCGATCGGTTCGATGGAAAAGTCGTTCCACGTGTTTGATGCGGACAAAAAGTTGGTCAAGGAGTATTGCGAGAATGATGACCTACTTCAACCCCCCGACCTCGATGTGCAAGCATCAAAAAATTATCCATGCCATTACATTCATGGACAAAGTTTCAAATATACGCAGCCTGTAAAACTAGTATTAAATACGTTCTACAAAATGTTGGAATTAGTATTGATTGCTAAATACATAAGCTAATTATATATTTTAGGTAACGTCCCCATCGAAAGTCCCACAGATGTTCGGATTCAAAGTTCGGTCGAAAGTTGATGGTGACATTTGTCTCATTTGGAAATATCTTCCTGCTCGCCCAGACTTTCCAGTTCCACCACCGAAAACGGTGCAAATATAGTGAGGAATTTGTGACTTTATGCAATTTATATTCATTAAGATGCAGTTAAGTAGTTTTTGATTTCCTGTATTAATTCCGATTAGTGCCGAAGTCTTCATCGCGCAGCATAAAGTAGTTTCCGTTCTGGGGTCGCAAGTGTACAATTATTTGGATCCTCCCTCCGACGATATCGAGAATCCTCCGAAGCGCAACTGTCATGACCCGAATCCAAATTCGTGGTTTAATTTGAACATGGACGATCCGAGTATCGAATTGGCAGAGTTTGTCACACATTGTGCAGAATCTGAAGAATGTCCCGTTTTCTTCAAGGATGAAGATAGACAAACTCTTCCACCCGTCGTTCTTGTTACTGGCACCCAGTTCAGACGCAGATCAACAACTTCGAACACTGTATGCGCAAAGATTTGAATAAAACGTTGTGAAATAAGATTGTGATCCAAATTTTAGACGCCGCAACCTGATATCGATGCGTACGAGGGGTGTGCGATATCCAAGGCTTGCATCGCTCCCCCAAAAAATGAAGACGAACCAGAGCCGGATGCGAATCAGTATTTCCTTCCTGAAAATCGTAATTGCGAGATGTTGGTGACGTTTGGAGACGCTCCGGCTGAAGGTGAAAATCTAGCTTTGGAGAAGGAGTTAATCTTGGAAATGTTCAAACCTTCCGTGGATAAATGGTTGGCAGTTGCACTGTCAGATTCGGATAACATGGTACCATTTTAAACAATAATGAATTTTTAGAGTATTATTGGAATTTCACTAATTAATTCTCATTAGGGGCCAGCCTACGTTGTCGAATGCGTAATTGAGAAGGATCGAGTTAACCTTTATCACTCTTTTAATGTTGAGAAACAACGCAGAAACGGAAGAATGGTAGCTTTTTCTTCGTGCATAATTTGATTCCTGTACTTACAAACTTACAATTAGTGTTCTCAAAATTTGGCCGGACCGACCGATAAGCTTTATTTGCACGAACATCGACAAAGCTTATCGGCCCGGTCCTATTTTGAGAACACTACTTCCACATTGTTAATCTATAATTTGTGTATCTTGCAGCGAGGAAATTATTCTCACATCGGGGTGGTTAAATTGTTGCGTTATCAGCGAAGGAATACAGGTCTTTACTGCAGATTTTCCATCAAGCGACACATCTTCGTAAGAGATCCGAATGTCACGAAGAAGGTTCAGAGTTACGACTTGGTCAGAGTACCGTATTTTCCGCTGTATGCGTGGGGCAACACTGTGACAGAGGATGGCATTACAGGTTTATATATTGGATTAATCATTCCTGGATTTGAGAAATACGCAAAAGGTTTTTTATTTTGTTAGGGAATTTGCTGAAACACACGGATTTCCGCGCCTCGTCCAAGAAAATTGCAATTGGAACACGACTCTCGGTAGTAATGCATTTAAATACGTCAGTATATTACATAAGAGCTATCATGTCATCTTAAATATATTGTGTAATTATTCCTTCAGCCTCTCCCCGAACAAAAGGCTCTTCTTCGTCTACATTCGACGATCCTGATATCAGCCGTCCTATCACTTGGCATGTTTTCTGGTCGATATTACAAGGAGACATGCGTCAGTGTTAAAATTTGCATCTTTCCGCTCTGGCAAATTGTGAGTCATTTATAAATTTATAGTTGCACATCAGACATAACAAGTTAACTACGATAACTGCTAATTTCAGGTCCATGCCATATCCATGACTTGTGTGATAGCGCTCCTCGTAGTTGCCCTCGTCGTAGAAATTATCGCCCATCAGGGTTGGACAGCTGTGTCGCCACCGAATTTTCACTCGTACGTGGGTTGTATGGCGTATGGCTTATCCTTTGTCGTGTACGGGATGGGTTTCTTTATCAAACCGTCGCAATACGGAAGCTCCAACATACCTGCGGCAGTGCACGTTATGGGTGGAAACCTGGTTTATTTCTTGTGCTTCATCCTCATAATTTTGGCGGATCGGGTTTCCTTTTCCGGATTGGCGTGTCACATCAAGTGGACCGTGGGAGCATGGGGTTTCATTTACTTCGTATTCCAATGCTTCTTCACGGTAAATACTTTCGGTTTTTCAGAGTAATATTAGATTTAAATTCAGTTTTGCACTTTGATGGGCTTTTTTTAGTATCTGTTTTTGGGGCGTGAGCTGTCTGCTCATTGGGGGGATATCTCAGCTTGACCTCAGGAACTTATTGATGGCGATGGGGGTGGCTCCGTCTTATTATGCCGAGTTCGAAAGTAGGCGTAAATGCACTCGTGCGAAATGATACGCGAAAACTACTTGAATTGGGCTTACAAACTCAAAACGGAGCTTTATTTTACATAGGGCGATTACTCGTAGATTGACTTATATCGACATGAGACCTTAGTTGTTTAAAAATATCGAGAAATATTTTAAAAGCTGGCTGTTAGTTTGAAAGTAAGTTTCCTCCTCCTCGGCTCGATTGGGTCTGAATTTCTTTCTTCTTTTCCCTGACTAAAACTCCTCTTTTCTTGATGCCACATCATCCTTACATTTACATTCACTGGCTAAATAGTGGCCCGAGTTTTACATACGACTTTGTCTTGACTTTTTGTTACGCAAGCATTTTTCATCATACATACATACATATGGGAATTTCATATTCATAAAACTGTTTCATAATGTGTCATTGCCCATGCCCAATATCTCACATCATTAATTTACATACAGTTAAAACCTTAAAATTATCAGCTAAAAATTATATCGTTATTCAAATAAGTAAAATTATTCACGGCGACAACATTCTCCCATCCGTATAATTGTTTACATTTGTACTACTTTGCGTGGTCGCCGTCTTCTCTTCGTCAACATCTAAAATGCACAATTTAGCAACAGGCCTTCGATATAAATTACCATTTGCTAATATAATGTCTACTACCCGGATTACGTCATCTTTTCCTGGATACAACTTGATCACTCTTCCCATTGGCCAGGTATTTCGGGGTAAATTGTCGTTCACTTCAAGAATGACGTCTCCAACTTTGATCGGCTTGGTGGTCTGGCACCACTTATGGCGTCGGAGTAGCGTGGGTCGATACTCTTTTGTCCACTTCTTCCAAAAATTATCTGCCATCACTTGGACACATCTCCATTGCTTTCTCCCAAATAGGTCGTGTCTGTCGAAGGACCCAATAGGCTGCAAGTTGCTGGACCTGCTAATCAAAAAATGGTTAGGCGTTAAGACATCGGGGTCCATGGGGTCGACTGGGACGTGTGTAAGTGGGTGGCTGTTGACGCTGTGCTCTGCTTCGGCTAGGACAGTGTTGAGCACTTCTTCACTCAGGTTCTTCAGGAGAAGCGTGTCTCCCAATGCGATCTTGACTGATCGGACCATTCTCTCCCAACTTCCTCCAAAATGTGAAGCTGACGGGGGGTTGAAGTACCACTCAATTCCTTTGGTGGCACATGATGACTTCAGTTTTTCTTGATTCAGTTCCTGCATGGCGAGTTTCAACTCATTCTTCGCTCCGTGGAAATTCGTTCCGTTGTCGGAATAAATTGCTGCTGGGGATCCTCTTCTTGCACAAAATCTCCTCAATGCCATAATGCATGAATCCGTGGAGAGCGATCCTGCTACCTCCAAATGTACGGCGCGCGTTGCAAGGCAGGTAAATAGGGCGACGTAGCGTTTCTCCGTACTTCTCTTGACTGTGACTTGAATAGGCCCGAAGTAGTCCAGTCCTGTCATGTTGAATGGATACCTGGGATTTTTGACGCGGAACTTCGGAAGTTGTCCCATTTCTGGTGGGACTGGTACTGCTCTTCTATTCTTGCAACTTTGGCATCGGCTCTGCGCAGCTCTGACTGCAGTTCGGATTCCAATAACGTGATACTGTTGTCGAATCTCGTTACAAATTCTTTCTTGACCGTGGTGGCCGCATATTTCATGAAAATACTGCACCAATAGCTTTACGTAGGGATGATGACGACTGAGGACAATCGGTCGTCTCTGGCGGAACGGTAGATTTGCATTTTCCAGTCTTCCTGCTACTCGTAATAATCCGGCATCCAATTTTACGCTCAATCCTGTCAGGATATTCTTGTTTGGCAGACTGGTTCCATTTTTCAGTGCTGCTACTTCGTCGGGAAATGATTCCATTTGCGCCACTCGATTCCAATACACTTGCGCTGCACGTAATTCTGAGGGAAATAGCGCTCCCGTTCGTGAAGGTACTTTGCGAATCTTGGCGATGAATCTCAAGATGTACGCTGTGACTCTGATCAGTCGTGTCCACGATGAGAAGTTTGATGCGTCAAGGCTGCACTTTCTCTTCTCTGCTATTTGTAGAATTTGCTCTTTCTTCAATTCTAATTCTGCTTCTGCTGTCATCTCATTCTTGCTGGTGCGCTTCTGTATAGGCCAAAGATTCTCTTCCAATTTAAGAAATTCTGGACCATTGATCCATCTGCTTTGTGATGTCCAATCGCAATTGCTACTCATCCTCGTCAATTCGTCGGCTGGATTTTCTTTCGTGGGAATCCACCTCCATTGCGATGCGTCGGTGAGTTCGTGGATTTCTCCAATGCGACTTGCAACAAATTGTTGATAGCGTTTTCCGTCCGCTCTGATCCAATCCAGTACAGTTTGACTGTCACTCCAAAATACCGTTTTGTGGATGTCGACTTCATGATGATCTTGAATAAATTTGGCTAGGCGTGCTGCTATTACGGCGGCTTGCAATTCCATACGAGGGATTGTGAGGTGTTTGATTGGGGCGACATTTGCTTTCGCCATGACCAGGGCTGTAGTTACTTGGCTACCGTGTGCGATCCGAAAGTAAGCTACAACTCCAAACGCCTCTTCGCTTCCGTCTCCGAAGATGTGTAGCTGGTTGTCTGTCGACCGAGAGAAAGTAGGGCTGTAACATCTCGGTACCTTGAACTCTGTGATACTTTCCAATAATGTCAGCCACAGTTTCCACGCTTGATGAGTAGACGAGGGAATCTCGTCATCCCATCCTATCTCTGATATCCATGTTCTTTGCAAAATCATCTTAGCTTTGATTGTCAATGTGGATAAGAATCCGAGTGGGTCGAATACCGACATAACGAGTGAAAGTACTTCTCTCTTGGTGGGAATGCGTCTTCCTTTCATGACGTCTTCACTGACTTTGAGGTACTTCAAGCAGAATGTGAAGTTATCCTCCTCCGGCATCCAAAAGAGTCCTAAAGCTCTCTCAATCTGGTCCTCCTTATTGATGTCGAGACTCTGACTTGTCTTTGACTGAAGTTCTGCAGGGATTGCTTTCATAACTTCTGGGCTATTTGATAACCAATAGCAGATATGGAATGACCCTCGGCGGTGGACCTCAAAGATGTCCTTTTGCATTTGAATTGCTTGGGCTTCCGTGTCGTAGCTATCCAATAAATCGTCCATGTAGTGGCGATGAACTATTGCTTTGTAGGCGTCGGGGAATTCTTCTTTGAATTGCTCGGCATTCTTATTTTTGGCTTCTTGGGCGCAGGCTGGTGAGCATGACGCTCCGAAAATCAGGACGCCCATCTCCATCACGTCGGGATCTCTGTCGCGATCCATTCCTCTCCAGAGGAAGCGTTGAGCAGAAGCGTCTTCCTCTCGGATTTTGATTCTGTGGAACATGTCTTTAATGTCCCCTGTGACCCCAATTCTCCTTTGGCGAAACTTGAACAGAGCACCGGGTAAGGATACCAATTTGTCTGGTCCTTGCAGGAGGTGATCATTGAGGCTTTTCCCGTATACTTTGGCGGCGGCGTCGAAAACGAAGCGGTACTTCTTGGGTTTCTTGGCGTTGTAGGCCATGAAATGCGGCAGGTAGAAAGTGCGGCTCGTTTCGATTGCGGCTTTTTCTGGCGGCAGGATTTTGGCGAATCCTTTATCTTGGTATTCCTGAATTCTCTCCACATACTGGCGTGCAAATTCTGGGTCTTGGTCCATTTTCTTCTCCATGGACTTCTGGCGTTGAAACGCGTAATTCTTGTTGCAGGGAAGTTTCACATCTTCATCTCTCCAGAGCAGTCCGCTCTCCCATCCGTGCGAAACTCGTCGTATTGTCTGGTCCATAATGACTTGGGCTTTGATGTCATCTCTTGACCTTGGCTTCTCCAGATTTGGCTTGACACCTACATATTCAGTAGTGAAGAACTGCTTTACTAATTGATGTAGTGGGTCGTCTTGTCGGTCGTTGATGTGAAATGCATGATGCAATTTCTTTGGGGGTGAGGCGGTCGGCCCCACTAATGCCCATCCCATTGCTGTGCGAATTGCTGCTGGCTCTCCAACTCTTCCAATCTTCATTTCTTCAGGTAGATGCAACTCGAAATTGTCCATTCCAACGAGAATAGTTGGGACAACATTTTGATAAGTGAGGATAGGGGTTCCTTCAATGTGCGAGAATCGTTTCAGGGTTTCCTTTGTTAATGACTGGCTTGGCAGATCCAACTTGGGGACTGTTCTCACATTGCGTAACGTGTAAGATTTTCCATCTAATCTTGACACGATTTCGATATCCACTTCATACGAGTTTGGCGTGGTGGTGGTGGATTGAAATCCTTGCACCGTGAGAGGTCGTCTCCTCCCATCCACATTTAATTGCTGTCGAATTGAGTCATCTGCTGACGTGAGCGATGCGTACCCATCCAGCACCATGTACATTGGCAACAATTGTCCATCTCTTCGCTTGGCGTAAATTGGAATCACGTTGTAATTGATGTTGGAGTTACTCCGTCCGCTGACTGCGCTGAGAGCAACTTCCTGTTCAGATGACTGGTTTCTTTGCTGTTCCGTAATGTGGGATGATTCTTCTGAATTTCTGGCGTTTCTGTTGTGGAGTAATTGGCAGTGAGTTTGCTGGCATCCTTCTATCCCGCAGACTCGTTTGCTTCGGCATTCGTGCATACGATGACCCCTGTTGAGACACCCTATGCAACATCTCTTCTCCTTGACCATGGCCCATCGCATGTTTACATCGGCTTCCTTAAATTTGGGACAGTGTCGCTGCCCGTGTGACCCGTTGCAGAAGTGACATTTCCGCTCGGTCCCTCTTTGATTTGATTGTGCCTGTCTGGCTTCATTCTTCTCTGTCGTGACCATGACTCGGTCATTCTTTCGGACTCCTCTCTGGTTGGCTGGCGGCCGTCGGTTGTCGTGATTTGGCTTATCAGTCGACAATTTCTCTGTGGAGGTTCCGGGGAGTGGGCACAGTGCGTAGGCTGCTTCCACCGTTGGCTGTAACCATTTGGCAAGATGTGACAATGAGGGAAATTCCAGTTTCTTCCTCAATTTGAATTCTTCCCATTCCATAGCTTTTTGAGCAGGCAATTTCTTCACAAGTTCGTCCACAAGTGAAGGATTTGATAGTTGCTGTTTTGCACCCAAAGATTTGATGGTGGAGACCAAGTTGTCCACACCGGTTCCGAGCTTCACCCATGATTCGTAGTTGTCAGTCTTGACATTCGGAATTTGTTGTAGCTTTTGCATCATTGTCTTGATAATGATACCTGGGCGCCCGAATCTCTTCCTTAGTTTGTCTATGGCGATTCTGACTCCTCTGGGGTCGACAAGTAGGCACTGAACGAGTTCCAATGCTTCTCCCTTCAGTGAGCGTTGCAGTCGGATCAAGTTTTCTCCCTCCGTGAATTGGCAGTTTGTGGTTGAACTTTCAAAGGCGAGGATGAAAGCTGGCCACTCTTGGCCTCTTGAAAATGGGGGCAAATCTCTTCCTCGTATTTGTCTGGCGAGTATTTTCTGGGACGTGGATTGGGGTTTCATTGTTGTTGATCTGTGGGGTTGATACGGTGGAGTGTCATCATCGGACAATTCTTCTTCCGATTCTGACGTGGAGTTTTCAGAGTAAAAAACTGCATCCACATTTGCTGCCCATTTCTTGGTTGCTTTTTCCTTGTCGATTAAGGCAAGATCCTCAATAGAGCGCTTTCTCTCACTATCTTCTTCCTCTAGGTCGGCCTTCCGCTTTTCATACACTGCCCCTTTGATGATAATTTGTTTCATAGATTCGTGTGCTTCAGTAGCGATGTCGAGATCCAATTTCTTTAATGCGACTTCTTTTTCGGCTGCTCTTATTTTGGAATTGGTGTCGAGTTGCTGTTTTTGTAGCTCAGAAATCTTGACGTCGCGGTCCACGGCGGATGAATCTTGTTGTAGCTCTTGTACTTGCACTTTTAAGCTTTCCATTTCTTTATTCAGACTCGTAACTTGAATTTCTGCTTCAGCATGGTCTTTTCTGGCCTGACGATGCTGGTCTCCGATGTCTTGTAGAGCACGGTCTTTCTTGCATTCAATTTCCATCTTCCGGACGGAACTCTTGATGCTGGATGATGCTGACTTGACGTCGACGACATCATCCTCGTTTGCTGCGGTCGGATTGGACTTTTGCGACTTCTTTCTTGCTTTTGGAGGATCCGCGAAGCTTCCGTAATGGTCTGGCTTCTTCTTGTCGCGAGTGCTCCTCCTTGTTCCATTATTGAGTGATTGTGACATCATTGTACCTCAAAAGTAATCAATAACGTCGATTTCGTCTTTTAGAATGAGATTAATTACGAATGAATTGGCATGGAACAACGTCTTGCCTGGTAGGGTACAATTGCAGATCGACTCTCCGGAGTCTTTCTGCTGTAGAGGTTGCACCGACCCCTGTTATTCGGTCGACACGTTAGCGGTCTGTCGTCAACCTTGTGGCCAATGTCCGGGTGGTTCCGGCCCTCAGATTGTCACTGTCCGTGACTATTTTGGCGATGTCCGGGTGGTTCCGGCCCTTGCAGATTTGTCACTGTCGGTGACAGGAGTGAGGAAATCCCTAGACCCTTGGGATGTTACTTCCTTCCTTCGTTTGACCCTCAACTACGGCGCGTACTGGTGTCGAATATGGATCGGCTCCACTCAGATGGACTCCAACCACTCAGCAATAGGACAACAATTATTAGCGGCGAAATTAATAGGTAAAATTGGAAACCAACTAACTTTAAGGGGTGCACTTCTCTATAGAGGTGGCACGTTCCCCATATATCCAGTCGACACTTTTCCAGGTATGTCGTCAACCTTGTAGTCGTCCTTCTCGTTCTTGAGGTCACCACAGGAGTGTCGTCCTTAGCACTTGATATCCGGTATCACGAGACCAATGTTTTTGGGGCGTGAGCTGTCTGTTCATTGGGGGGATATCTCAGCTTGACCTCAGGAACTTATTGATGGCGATGGGGGTGGCTCCGTCTTATTATGCCGAGTTCGAAAGTAGGCGTAAATGCACTCGTGCGAAATGATACGCGAAAACTACTTGAATTGGGCTTACAAACTCAAAACGGAGCTTTATTTTACATAGGGCGATTACTCGTAGATTGACTTATATCGACATGAGACCTTAGTTGTTTAAAAATATCGAGAAATATTTTAAAAGCTGGCTGTTAGTTTGAAAGTAAGTTTCCTCCTCCTCGGCTCGATTGGGTCTGAATTTCTTTCTTCTTTTCCCTGACTAAAACTCCTCTTTTCTTGATGCCACATCATCCTTACATTTACATTCACTGGCTAAATAGTAGCCCGAGTTTTACATACGACTTTGTCTTGACTTTTTGTTACGCAAGCATTTTTCATCATACATACATACATATGGGAATTTCATATTCATAAAACTGTTTCATAATGTGTCATTGCCCATGCCCAATATCTCACATCATTAATTTACATACAGTTAAAACCTTAAAATTATCAGCTAAAAATTATATCGTTATTCAAATAAGTAAAATTATTCACGGCGACAACAGTATCAGTACTGGTGGATTGACTATATTTTGGGTCTAAAGAAAAAACGAGGCAGGTGGTTCTTCCCGATTCCAGCCATATACGCGTCCGATGATTCTGGGTCACAAACACGTCTGGGTAATAAAGGCGATAAAGGTTTCAAGCCAAACCTCGAGCCTGAAAAAGGTCAAGATCCGGTCGAAGCGCCGGTGAGTCATACATAAATAAACATAAAAGCTGCCTGCTCTTAATTTTTTAATGCAAAATTGTTGTCCTACTGATATTGCAGGGAAGCAAAATTCGATTGGGAGCGTTCGTAGTGATCTGCATCTTAGCAGCTATATACACAACTGGGAGCATTTTCTTGGTTCTAAGGAATAAGAATGGAGACGGAGATTGTTTTACGCTTCATGAAATATTTGAATTTTCAAAAAATTAAAAAGTGTAAATTTTATTATTTTAACTCTAACTATAACTAGTGTACCTACATGTGTAATTGTATGTAGATAAGGCCAAATACTTCTATCCTTATTACTATTAGGTATTACCTCAGAGTCTGACTCTGCTAAATAAAATATACTGTCCAAAGGCTGCACACTGGAGATTCAAGTTTAATTCTCGAAATAGTACCCTCGAGATTTTTATCTTAAAAAATTAAGCTAAAAATTATGACGATTTCATCTTTACGAATGAAGTCTCTATATCTACCCAATACCCTTTCAAAAGTTATTAAAGGTCAAAGTCGTTGGTACTTTGGACCATGGGAGAAGTACCAACGAAATAAAAAATAAATATTTTTTTTACAACTCCACCATTTCTCGCAACCGTTAAAAGACCCAAGCGTTACATAAATTAAATGTCAAGCAATCGTGCTACAAAATCGTATGCAGTTCATGAGTTCTCATTCTTCACCACTTCTGTTACCATGCTAAACCCATTGTTTGATCAATAGCCAAAAATTAATCATGTTCAACCCAAACACAGCACGATTAACCTTTTAAAAACGGATTCCACCAATAAGGTGGAGGGCGATTTCGATCTCTTGGCGACGGACTACACCAATAAGGTGTAGGCCAAATTTTTCGCCTTAGCGACGGACTACACCAATAAGGTGTAGGCCAACTTTTTCTCGTTGGCGACGGATTCCACCAATAAGGTGTATGGTTACAGAATTCCGTTGAGACCGGGCTACATCAATAAGGTGTAGGAAAAAATAAAAATAAAATGACCGAGAAAATTTTCTCAGTTCCATTCTTTCCTCCTTATTTGTCGTTGGTTTTTCTTCAAGCCTGAACTAATTTTTTTAGAGTTTAGAGTTGTAGTTGTAGTGGGGGGAGGAACTCGGAGGAAGTGCATCAGAGGTCACGCCGCGCCCCCGAAAAATTATCCAACATTGGCGCCGCTAATAAATTGGTCGGCGTTGACCTCTGACCTGTATCATGTTGTAAATATGATACAGTTCATATTTTTTTTAAATTATCACAACGTTCTCTTTAGCTAATATATTCGCAATAGTGTCACCACCGATCGGAACAAGTCACAGAACACTGAAGGACAAAATTATAGCTAATAACTTGTTTAAAATATAAAATGCATCCCAAAATCAGTGTCATCAAATTGATGACATGAATGATGACGATTTATTCGTTTAGTTTATTTTTGTAGTACTATCAAAATCAAATCCGATCTTTTTATCAAAATTAATATCGTGTGTTCATTTGGTTCAGTTGCAATTTCATGTTAAAAATGTATTATGTTCTAATTTTTGTTGTCGAATCAGTTCCAGGTCTCTAATAAATCATAACTGCATCAGTAGAATATTCAAAATCGGTTTGCATTAATTCAGTCCCCAACTGATTTTATCACCGCCCCACAAGTCGGTCTCAATGGTATTCTGCCCCCCAGTAAATCCGCCCCCAAATGCAATAGAAACCATTTTTAATTCCGTTTTTAAATGGTATCCAGGTCAAAATTAATTAGTTTTTATAAGGTTAACTGACATCGTTTCTATGGGGTGGTGCCCCATAGAAACGATATAGAATGATAAAGTGTCAAATAATATTGCAAACACAGCTATCATAAAAATGCTTTCAGCGTAAAGTCCTGTTTTTTCCTGTTTATCTCATAATTTTGGAGTAATTAACTGGCGAACAACAAAACGAAATAGTAGATCAACCATAATAATTTATTATAATACCATAATTTTTAAAAACCACCACGACGAAGCAGCAAGATGCCTTTAAACAACCCCCACATTCCGAAGGAAGAATACCACCAAACGTTCCTCCGACTTATTTCAAACGTTCAAACCTGCATAAAATCCGCCGGGGTTGAAGTTGAGGATGAGTTTGTGGTCATGATTGTAAGTGTCATCCTAAGTTATGCAAATATCTGTAACATGTCTCGTCCTCTAATTAAGACATCTCTCAAACTTGCCCTCTATGCTTAAACTTACCATTTTCGACTTTCAGATAAAGCTGGTGAGTCTCGACCCAGGCAACAAATTTCTCATCAAACAGCAAATGGTCGAGTCTGAGCTGGAGCGGATGAAGAAAATTGTGGTCGACCGAATCTTGGCCATGTCATCCATGTCTCGGGACATCATATCGATGCAGTTCCACTTCAAGATGAGCTACTACAATCGAGACGACTCCGTCTACGCCCACCGTGAAGACCAGGAGAACAAGATCTCATCCCTAATGAACGACATGAAGACTGGAATCCCAAACAATCTGCGTCAACACGACATTTGGTATGCAAAACTGATTGGTGCCACCATAATTGAGGCAAATATGGGTTCTGCCATGGAGTCCTCTGTCGTACGAGAGACGGAAGGTGGGTCACGTATTTAAATACTATACCATAAATAAACCGTAGTAACGTTAGAAGTAGCTCACCCTGTAATAATGATTTGGTTATAACTTGCCCCAAAGGTGCAGAAAAATGCAACAAAATAGATACATAATTTTTTGCAATTATGCACGAATGGTGCAGAAAAATCCAACAAAGTGGATCAATAATTTTTATGCAATGTTGCACCAATGCTGGTGCAGAAAAATTAAACAAAATAGATCAATAATTATTATGCATCGAGAAGAGTCCAAAAATTGTGCATCACTGGTGCAGAATTACCTACCAACGATCAACGATAATTTTGAAAAATTTATGTCAAAATTGTATGATCATTTCTCCCGGATATTCTGCATTATTGGTGCGTTTTGCGTCCTTGCCTCCAATTATTTCGCATCATTTTGTGTTCCCGATTGTTAGATATCAATGGTGCTATTAATTTATTAAAAAATTTGATTCGGTTTGTTCAATACCAATGGTACGCCTAACTTATTCGCCTAACTTATTCGCCTAACTTATTTAATAATGGTCAAGGGGATTTTTAAATAGCATCAATTGATGCAAAAATATCGCTAACAGACAGACAGACAGACGGACGGACGGACAAGAGGAATTCAATAGCTCTCATGCTACGCAGGGTGAGCTAATAAATATTATATTAATTGCGTAATTAATGCCCAGCCGCCCTCATGAGCGTCTTCCCCAAGGAGGACATGAACCTCCTGTCCACCATGACGCAAAGGGACAGGGAAGCCCAATTGTATCATTTGATGCACATCGCGATCGGAATTCGCCTTTATTCCAAGGACAAAAATCCAGACGATTATGGCGAATTTATTGAAAACTGTGAGACATTTTTCTACTCAAAAGTTGCACAGGTTTCGCCATAATAACTTAAATTAAAGATGTATTTATTCATCAGTGCCCAGCATCACCCCACTTAAAATTGACGAAACCCTTGCTCTCATGTCGACCATGAGGTCGACCAATATTCAGCGTCTCATCCGGTACACGACCATCGCCCAGCCGTATTTTCTCCGCCATGTCATCTACCGAATGGATCGTCGCGCCGTAAACAGTGAAATGGTCAAGATTCGCCAAGCCCTCGCAATGGTGCACCAAGTCCTCATCTATTTGAAGGAACTGACCGACGACCTTTCCCATGAGAAGGATATCTGCTCCCAACTGGTGACCGGGTACCGAGAAATTATGGATGATTTGCATCGCATAGTGAGCAACGGAGTCCAAAATGGGGACGAAGTTCCAAGGACGGTTCTTCACGTGAGAGAAAGTTCAATTTTTGTTCGTTTTTTAGTATGTAACTAAAAAATTACGTATATAATGCAGGCCAAATTCGTCGACTTAACGGCAGCGTGGCGTGACTTGCAAGAATGTCAAGTCTTTGTTGAGTCAATTTCACTCATTGTGAAATCATTGACGGAATTCAGTTCGGAAAACTTGTCCAAAGTTGACACGGTGGTGGACAAAATTTTAGGAGAAAGTCACATCCCCGTCACGGAAAAGGAATTTTTTAACTTTCCTACAATTAAGCTCCCCGATGATAAGTATGCGCTTGCAAAGAGGTTGGATTTTCGAGAGGATTTGAACCCATTACAAATGACGGTAAATTGTCTAGATTATGATACAATAGAAAAGTATGAGTTAAGGATTACTAATTAGTACATAAATAATTGTATCAGTGCTCTGGATTTTGTGTTCACTCTTTGGTCAAAGGGATCGGGCTTTTGATCCTGTCGAATCCAAACTTGGGAATTTTCAATTGGAAAAATCAGAACTATTTGCTATCCACGAGCAAGGGTGCGATGGACTTTCGACGAGACCCAGACTCGTATGTGAAGAAGGTACATGCCATAGCAAGAAAGTGGCCGGAGCTCATCGTCCTCTTGAATATTGAAAAGGACGCGTTCGATCCAGGCACGGTGTCTGAGTAGGTTCATACAAAGCTTATATACGGTGTATTTTAAAATCAGATTTGATTTATAAAATTCGTTAGTGCGGATCGATCCGGAAAGACGACAAATGTTCTTATTTCTACGGATGCTGGAGCGCAAACAGAAATCCATCCGGTCGAGTCACATATCGTGAAGGTGAGCTATGGAACACTTAATATATAGTTACAGAAAATAATACCAATGATTTCATTAACGAATTAGCACTACACTTCTAACGAGTGGGACCTCAGGATGAGGGGGTTGACTTTGGTAAGCAGTTTATTTAAGTGACAAAAAAATCCCAATGTGGCAGATAATAATTTTCCAATTACACATTTTGTCACTGCAAGTCAAAAATCCACAAATGTCGGACTCATGGGACGCAAACCCACTGGCAGGCGCTCAAGCATAACGCTGAAGTACAAACCTTCGCGACAAAGACCGTTTCGATGCAGACCAATCGGGACGTGTATTCTGAAATTCCTCTGAGCCAATTCTACTTATATGGCCTGAGGGGTCTGCACTGTGGCGTGGAACCTCATGTAGTCGAAATTTCGCAAGACAATCCTACTGATTTGAGGGGAATGGTTGCCACTAGGATTGAGCCAGAGATCAATTTGAAGGACGAACTTCCATTCTTGCCACAAATTTATTATCAGAATTGAAAATATGAATATGTTGAAACAGGATAAATGACTAATGATTAGAAAATTTTCTACTTAAATAAATAATCAGAAGAGGTTGAAAATTTAGAAAATTTGACTAGTTTTCAACTTTATCAAATAGTTTGTCCACTAATTGCTGAGCAAGCTTTTGAGCCTTAACTAATCCATTAATCTTGTTCACCTTCGCCTGGTAGATATTTCCTTTTTGATAAGAGCCTTTCCCATCTAAGATTTTACAGAGTTCTTCCCCGATTTCAATAATTTTCGCTTTGGGAATGACCTTCTCGTCTCCGGTGAGGAGGAAGTATCCAAAGGTGCCTTCAGTCTTTAGGGTGACGAGAATAATTGCCGACTTTTTCTGTATTGTTAAAAAAATAGCGATACAAATTAGTAATAAGCAGAAACCAATAATTTTTGTTGTTGTTGTTCTTACTGCGTCGCCAATTTCTCTGAGCAATGCCATTCCAAAATCAAGATCGACAAAATCCCTGAATGATTTAGAGCAATTAGAGTATTTTACAACTTCTAATGGAAAACACGGGCAATTTACTGATAGCCGTTATAATTATAATACCTGTGATGCATCCACAATTTGTTGCCATTTTCTACCCCACTCGAGTATTTTTCTTTGAACGTTGTTGCAATTAATACTGCTAAATCCTTGGATAAGCATTGACAACTCTGTCAACGTAAAACAAACAAATCAGAACAGGAACTTGAATAACACTTACAATTAGTGAAAGTATTTATCATTTAGTGATAAATGCGCATATTATACCTTTCGAGTATTTTTCAACGTCAAGTTTAATTTTTCTCCAGCACTCGGTAGTTGACCGGGGGATGAACTGTAGAGATTGATAAAAGTTTTACTTTGAACTCTGAATTGAAAACACAATTTTTTAAATGGAAGAACTGATTCTACCTTAAAATATCGGTCAATTTTTGCTCCGTCTGAAACATTGTTGTAAACCTATCGATGACTCGACTTCCAGCGAGAAAATGCAGCAAACATTTCCCTTTCTTTTTTACGACGCACAATAATTTTATGACCTGAGTGAGATAAAGAACAATTATTAAATTACCAACATTTGGTTTTTTGCAGTAATGTAATCAATTAGTAGTGCATACCTGCAACTGCGATAAATTGCTCACATGGGTCCCGCAGCAGACATTGGATTCAATCCCAGCCATTGAAACTATACGGATATTTCCCTTCACATCTTCCGGCAGATTTCGCCCTCGAGCCTATTAATTAATTTGTTAGCAAATTTATATATGAGACATAATTACGGTTTATAAAATTGTGATATACAGTTTGTAATTTTGGATCATCTAAAGAAACAACGTCCACATATACTGGAACATTTTCGCGTATCCTTGCATTTACTTCGTCTTCAATGGCACGGATTTGTTCTGGAGTGATTTCTTTTGTGTCTGGGAAAACATGAGCAAAATTATTATTATTATCTACGTAATACATCCGGTCAGACATTGTTGGGTTCATTTATAGTGAGTACCCATTTCAATATAGCTCTCCTCGCTCCCAAGCCACCATGATGTCGTTGGAAATCCAAATTTTACATCAGCCACGGCCGTAATTAGATGCTGACCTACAGACGACACATTACATGTGACATTTTAGATTCGAAAGACAGAAGCAGTTATCATTTATATATAAGCGTAAATATTACCAGAATGCTGTTGCATATGATCGAATCTACGTCCCCAGTCGATTTTTGTCGTTACCTTGTCACCCTTTGACAATCCCCCGTTTTCCCCTCCTTTTGCCAAAGCGACATAATGTTCTGCAACCGTTCCATTTCGAATTACACGGATGACGGACCCTTCCACAACAATGTTCTCTTGTGACTCAGCCTTCTTCGTTATTACGCCATGGTCGTCCGGCTGCAAGACATAATATATTCTAATAATATCTTGTCCAACATTATTAATTAGTTATTATTTATTACCTACCTGACCACCTCCTTCCGGAAAGAATACGGTGTCGGCAAGAACAACTTTAAACAAACTCTTGTCTTCTTGAAACAACTTGGGATTTAATGACAAAGAGTTTGTCAGTGAATCCAAATCAATCATTTGGTCAATTTGGACGATTTCGGTGTCCAACTGAAAAAATTCCAATTTAAGAATCGCTGTTTGTAATTGAAATGAAATGAAAACTTAAAACAAACAAATAAACTTACCTCTTGTAGGAAGGAATCTCTCTGGCACATAAACATGATTGATGAGCTCCCACTTTCCTAAAGATGGTCAAATAAACAACTTTAATTGAAGTATTAATTTAATTATTTTGCAGCATGTTTCTGTATAAATACGGAATACCGGTCGTGAAAATGAAACCGATTTTGACTGCTCATGGAGTATTTGCGACTGGCGGAATCCCCGAAATCTCAGCTCCTCTGCCTGCGCTCTCCCCGCAATTGCATTGCAATCTCTATATTTACAAACAAAACAAGCGCATAATTTTTGGTGGGATAAGAAGATTGCAAATTCGTCCCCCCAAAAAAAAACGATAACGATAACCACGGGGTTATCACTGCAAATATTTGACAGGAAATAACAACCCCAAGTTGTGGTCGGTTTTTGGAGCTGAAACATCAGCCAGGGTCTACGGGAGAAGTGAACGACGGCCGGTCGAATTTTGGGATAAAGATTAAAATAACGGTGATTGTTTTTTAAATGTATAATTTCGAGTAAAATTATTCAGGTTGATTCATCCATCAGAATTCATTTTTATCTAACGTCTTACATTGATTGCGGTTTGCAAAGTTGTAATTTGAATTTGTGTCATTGTAGGAATATTGTTAGTGAAAAATTACCAGTTGTTGGATAATGGCAAATCTGAAACGTCGCCCCGATAAGGATCTCAATCATGATAATTGGGATGACGAAGATGTTCCCGAAGAAAAGGGTGAATTTCGCCGTGCGAATGAAGAAGATCTGAGAAATAGAAAGATTATTAAGGGACGCCGAAAAATGGTAGGATTTGAGTAATGTTATAGTGTACATATTTGACAAATATTTAAAATCAATTATTAACTTATTACAGGGCAATGCAGAATCCGCTGGATCATCAGGTTCTTCGGGGAATAATAATCCATTTAGTTCATTCGCCTTTGGGATTACTGGCGGTGCTGTTGGTGGTGGGGGTCGAGGGGGAGGAGGAGTGAGTAGTGCGTCAACATCCGCAGCAGCTTCCACGATCACACCCGCCTTCAGTTTCGGTCTACCCGTTAACCCGTTGTCAAACAGTGCAGGTGGTGTCGGCATTGGATTAACAACTGGCACTGGGACGAGCGGAGCGACTGGTTCACTATTTAAGATTGCGGGCATTACACCCTCGTCCGAACCACCAACGAGGGCTTCAGCAGATTCGTCAACTACTGACACAGGTAAGATATCATAATTTGCATATCTGTAAATCAAGTTTGAATTTTCAAATCTGGATTTCTCCAGCCGAGCCGATCCTTATTGGAACGCCAGCCACACCATCCGGCGAAGTTGACGTGGGTCCCGAATTGAGCGAAAGTGATGGGATAGCTGAGGAGAGTTCAAACTCGTCATCCCTACCTTGGAATGTATCTGCGAGACAGAGGGACGATTCTAACGCAGTGGACTCAAACAACATGAACAACTCGGCTGATCAGAATAATCCGAGCTGGCTTGATGCAGATGACTTGGACGATAAGGAAGCCTCAGCTGCATCTTCTGAAGCAATGATGATGCAGATCCCCTCTGTACGAGGGGATGATGCCGTTGCTGCAGCTGCAGAAGGAAAGGTACTACGCATGGAAATTACTTGAGATGAGATTACCATTATGGTTTGAGTATAATTAGAATATGCATAGTTGTACTCATGGACTTTGTTAGAGTAAGATGTTGTTTTCCGCCTTGGTAAAATATTCACTCCAAGTATGTAAGAAGCAACACAGTGTTCTAATTTTTCATACCAATTTAATTCCAAATTTGAGTCCATTTTAAATATATTATTTACCACAAATAATTTAAAATCTCGAAATGGATCACGATATGGACATAAATGAACCTATTCTACTACAACCCTTACCTGTCGAGCCTTTAAAACCAATAGCCGTACCTGAACTCTTATCGAATAGCAACTCGCCCTCGCCCAACAAAAATTCCAAACTGGGACTACTTCTGGAAGTAGGATCAGCAATTAGTGAGCAAGCTTCGACTCCGAAAGTCACAAGTGTCGAATGGGAGAAGAGTAATCAAAAACGCATCCTGACAAACTCTTCCAACTCAAGTTTTGCCAATTATGTGATTCCAAAGTTGAACCCAAAATCTGACCGAAAGACTGAGATTAAGAAAGCAGAAATTTCAACTCCAGTTCCAAGTAAAACAAAACTGATGCAACAAGATGAAGAAAATGTGGCTGTAATAAAGCCAAAGAAACGCAAACACTCGACATATTCACGTATCAAAAAATCCAAAAGTGACGAGGATGAAGACGATGATGATGGGCGCAGGAGCGAAGATGAGGCCAAAAAAGTAAACAATTTAGGATTATTTGCTGACTCTGAAAAGGAAGAAGGGTCCGAAGCTGAGGATGATAAAAGTAAAACCAACCAGAAAATGACACCATCCCGCGATACTAAGGTTGCCAAACGTCGCATTATCGCCAACATGAATTGGACTCCGTTGCACTCGTTTCAATCTGTAGACGATTTCGAGCTGAACATTGATCAGAACCAGATTCGTGTCGTGAGAACAGTTCCACTAGTGAATGGAACCAAGAGGTTTTATTTCTGCAAAGAGTGCAAGAGAGAGTCTGGTCCGTTTCTCTTTGTGCACTTCAATGATGGGGGTGGATGTGAATGTTTTGTGTTGGGGGATCAAGTCCATTCCCACTTCATGCGTCCTGGGATCGACTACGAAAAGATGATTGCGGAAGGAAGAAACGATGTCGAACTTAATGCGATCCTCTTGTCAAATCTGAGGTAATTAAATACTTTAGATTGAAGACTAAATACAGAACAAACTCTTTAGTGATAATTTTCTTTCCCTTCCACAGCACGGGTCGATCTAGCAAATCACAAACGAAAAGCCCAGCCCCACGACCACCCCGAAGTCGAACAACGACTGAATCTCCTTCTAACGCTACGGATTCTCCTATTTCAACGAGACGGTCATCCCGACGACCTAAACATACGACCCCCCAGAGAAAACAACTCCCAAGAAAGTCGTCTTCTAGGAAAATATCTGAAGGCTCGGATGAGAAGGAAAATATAGAAGAAAGTTGTGAAGAAGAAGATAGCGATATTGCAAATAAAACTATAATTGCACGCCTTGCCAAAGATAAACATTCTCGTCAGGGTCATAAACATCAACGAAAGAGGATTCGTATCACACCAAATTCTGAAGATGATAACTAATACTGACAAAATCGGCTTTAAATTAAACTACATTTTAATTAGTTATTAATAATAGAGTAAGAGTTTGTTTCATTTATTGGAGAGAGGTCAGATTAAGAATTTATGAAATTGTGGTTTTTGTATGATTTGTATTTTTGCGTCAAATGTCTCTAATAATATTTTGTTACATTTTCCAGCACATTCTCCCTACTACCTCCAGCGCGCCTGCAGATTCCTCTGAATCCTCCCCAACTAACAGTAATCATCATCACCATCCCACCTTCAACTTTGGGGGGACCTCTTTTACCACCACGACTCCGAGTGGATCTCTTTTCCAACCCTTTCAACACAACAACCCCACTTCGTCCTCCTCAGTTCCAGCAGCAGCAACAACGACACATCTACATCAAACCTCGTCATCCGTCACACCCGAAAGTAGTGGGATTGTGGTCCGTTCTTCTCTAGAGGACGATCTCGCCGACTACGAGAATGACACGACCTCCTCCAGCAACAAATTACCCAGCGAGGGGAATAACGATGTCGAAAATGAAGTTGGAGGGGACGAGTTTGACGGGGAAGATAGAGAAGCAGAGGCTGACCTTTCAGGCGACGCTGCAAATGAGGAGAGAGAAGCAGAAGGGGTCGACTCATAATGCGAAAAAATACTACTAAATATGTAACTGACTTATTATGATTATCCCGTTAAGTAAGGAATGAACATGTACAAACTATTTGAAAAGTAAATGATTATAAATTCTATCATAATTTATAATCATACATAATTTATAATTTATCAATCAAAAACTGAAAAATTAAATCATCATCCATCGCAATGAAATTCACATTGTATGTAAGTTTATAAAATTAGTGATTCTTGAGAATTTTCATTTCTTAGCCTGCGCCTGGCATTTGCTGGTTTGCTATTTTAATTTGTTGGTTTTTGGAAGCAATTATTAATCACGAACTTTCTACTCAAATTTCATTGGTGGATGAATATATACAAGTTCAAATTTATAAATGATGCATAGAAATCAAGAAGGATGCTACAGACTCAAACTTATAAAACAAATCTTTTAATTTGCATAATTAAAATAAAATAATTGCAATAGGTGTAGGAGAACAAATAGATATGCACTATTATTACTTGGGGGGAAGGGATTATGTAGATTGTTTTATGCGAATCCACTGTCAACTGTATGTTATGTATACTCCAACTGTGTCGTTAGCGTGTGTATTTACTTAATTTACTTGATTAATATTTAGTTAGGAGAAACCTAATATGAATTGTGGTAGAAATTTATGACCATAATTACGAGCGTAGTGGATTTTTTGTGTCAATATTATGTAGAAAGGAATAATTTGCTGTGGTGTGGTTGAGTATACTTAAGTAAAAAGCGTACTCTAATATTTAAAAATAAATGTATGTAAAATACAATAAAATAAAATGAAAAGCAAAGGTGCCCTAAAATTAAATAGTTTGCGAGGCGTTGTTTCTTTCATTCATTAAAAAATATCATGTACGGTTGATTTGCTTTATTATGTTGCTCCAATTTCATTACAAAACTAGTCCCATTATTTATTTTCTGTTCCTAACTTTGCAATAACACCATGTTTAAATCGTAACGATTGTAATCCCTTTTCCCCTATGGAACGATTGACACCTCCAAACTTGTCGTAAAATTGAATAGCTTTCTCATTCCAGTCCAACACTTCGAGTGAAAATCCATTATAGCCATCTTTTTCTACAAACTGATAGAAAAATGCATAATGAAAAATTATGATTTTTATATAATTACACATTTTCTACTAAAGTAGAATTTTATTAGGCTCACCCGAGCTATGGCTTGAAACAACATGCCTCCCACTCGTCTTGCCCGATATTTCGGTGTGACATAGATATCCTCTAGATGCACCCGTTTCCCAAGGAATGGATGGAATGATATGAATAGCAGACTGAACCCAATTATTTCCACTTCTCCAGTTTCCTCGTCGTCCAATTCGGCGACAAAGGAATAAAAGACCGGGTGTAGCTTATAAAACCCGTCCCTCTGCAAATCTATATGAAATCAAAATTCAACTTTAGTTTCTAATTTATCACATTTGCTTAGATCATGCTTCTGTTCAAACCTTTCACAGTTAGCTTGGGACCGTCCTCCATTTTTTCAAAATCAGCCAGCTCCTGGATCATCTCTTTAATTCTGGTACAGTCCTTTGGTTCTGCAGGGCGTAGTCGAACACTCTTGTCCTCATTTACCACCTCTAGCAATTTCTTAACGGCGGCGTTGTCCAAGTCGTAGTTAAGCCAGCCTTCCTCCTTGGTCAGATTTATGGCACCGTGTTTGGTAAAGAAATTCAATCCAGATTCGTTAGATTTAATTACTTCGAGGGAAATGCGAAGATACTTCTTTTCCTGTGCTGTCTGAGAGAATAGGAAATCATTGCAATGACCCTGAATTTATATGTATAACCGAAACATTATAATAGCTCACCTTGGCCAAACTGCACAACATTTTAGACCCAATCCCTTGTCGCTGATACTTCTGTGATACGATAAAAGTGTTGAGATGCATGGCCTCTCCTTCCCAGGTCGAGTATTTGACATGATAAAGTGCTACCCCAACGATTTGGGGGGATTTGGCGTCCGGAGATTCTTTGATTTCGGCGACAACGCCGAGAAATACCGGTGGGCCGTACTTATCAGCGAAACCTAGTCGGTCCAAATCTGCATATATAATTTAATTAATTATCCGTCACATGAGAAAATATTTTGTGGAATGCCAAATCAAACCTTTTGGAGTTAAAGTGAGGTTGTCATCACTTTCGCCCTTATGATTTCCCAATTCTCGTATCAACTTGGTGATAGCTGCACAATCTGGACTTTTAATGTCACGGATTTTTAACGTGTCCATTTCGATTTCCCGTTTCGAGTTTGAAAATTCAAGAGATTCTAAAGAGAATGAAATAATTCGCTTGGAGCCAAATTTTCGTTCACCCGAGATGTCCTTCAAGCATATGAAGAACTTCTCACGATAAATAATTTATTTACGAAAAAGTTCATGAGCTTGCTAATTTAAAATATAAACAAGCAAACAAATGAATGAATTGGTTCGGTTAGCTTTTAGCTAGCCATGCAGGCGGCTGATGATGGTGCCGGAAATGAGATCATCGACCAGCGGGCTACAAGTGAAAACAAAATCAGGGTGGTTATTTATTTATCTTCACTAATTTAATTCTGACAGGTTGTATTAATTGTTCATAATTTAGTTTTTAATTTGGTCTTTAAATCGTCGTTAAGTCATGTCTCATCAAACCGGAATTCGAGGTATTTTCCCTATAGATTGTGTAAATTTTAGGTTAATTTGTATTTCATACTTGATCGTTTTAATTTCGTGACATAATAATGAATAATAATGACATAATAATGAATTTGCAGCAAATGAAGCACTCCGCAGTTTTTTCGGGAAATGTCGAGATGGAGGAATTCGCCTGGTTAAAGTTGGGATCATCGATGGTTAGTTAGTAGAATTAGATAGAAATTATAAATTCATTGTTGTTCATTTTGCATTTAAAAAATTTTAAAACGAGTTGTATAATTTTTTCCAGAGGAATTGGCCCTTGAAGAATATTCCGAAGCTAAACATTCAAGTTGGGAGAAAGATTATGAAGCTCTGATCAAACCTGTTTTGAAGGAGGGTCAACCCTGTTACATTTTGTTTAGGTGGTTTTTAATTATTAATAATTTGACTATTTGTAAATGGAACTAATTATTGTTTCTATTTACATATATAGACTAGACAGCAAGGATAATACCGGGTACAATTGGTTACTCTTCACCTGGTCCCCAGAACTTAGTCCTGTTCGTCAAAAAATGCTGTATGCATCGACTAAAGCAACTTTAAAGATGGAATTTGGTGCGGCTCAAATTAAAGAAGAAGTTTTCGTTACATCAATGGTACGCAGTAATAGTATTAAAGCTATATAAATCTTGACATTTTCAAGTCGGAAAATTCTGTTAATGTTTGTGGATATCATCACAGGACGAAGCGGGATGGGAAGGGTACTTGAAGATTAAAAGAAATAAAGATGCCCCTGTCCCATTAACTATGGCAGAAGAGGAATTGGCCGAGCTGAAAAAGACGGAAACTAAAACGGACATTAGCGTCGACAGTCGCCACCAGACCTTGACTGGAGTCATGTTTCCACTTACGGAAAAAGCGTACTCTGCCCTTGGACGGTTTAAGAACAAGGAAGTTAATTATGTACAGCTCAAAATTGGTGAGCATTCTTAGTATGTATGTTTAATATCTGGCTATATTGATTGATGACTTATTTTTTAAATATCACTATCAGAATTGGACCAGGAAGTTATAGAATTAGCAAGCACTGCGGACACGGATGTCAACACATTAAGAAAAAGAGTCCCGGAATCAAGTGCAAGATATCATTTGTTTTGGTTTCCACACACGCACGAGGGCGACTATCTCGAGAGTTCCAGTAAGCGTTTAACCCTCCTGTTGAAATTATCCGCAAAGTGGAATTACTTGATAAATAATTAATTGTTTATAAACTGCAGTATTCATCTACTCGATGCCCGGCTATAACTGTAGCATTAAAGAACGTATGCTCTATTCGAGTTGTAAAGGTCCGTTACTTTCTGCGATGGAGGCACAGCTAAAATTGGCTATGGACAAGAGGGTACCTGAACAAAATTGCTTTGTAAATCGTTAACTGTTTAACTACTTAATATTTTTCTATCCAGCTTGAAATCGATTCCGGAAGTGAACTAACTGAATCCTTCCTTCAAGAAGAACTTCATCCTACTAAAAGTTTGAACAGGCCAAAATTTGCGAAACCAAAAGGACCTCAGAATCGGGGTGGGAAACGTATCACCAAACTTACTGTGGGTGCTGGGGACGGAGAGGATGTGGATGATTGATGTCCAATCCAATTAGTTATAGACGTACTGATATCACAATAATGTAACGTAGTACATAAGTCATACCAAAGAACGGATTGATCATGATCAGACAAACCGACGCAAATAAGGAAGAATGCTGTGTTAAATGCCATTAAAGGGGCTAATTAATTAATTACTATTAAAAAAAAACATGCAAAAAATTTGCTCATCAATGTTAAATTGTTGTTCAATCTGGCAATAATACTTCTTAGGAACCGATTTTAAACTGATTTCAACATTTTTAAGTCCTCCTCTTGGATATAAAATATTTAGAATTAAGATAAGTGTCGAATGATAATTTATTTGTACTTTTGGGTGTATGAATTAAGTTAAATAAATTAGGACTTGAACTATTCCAGTACATCTTGAATTATATTTACTTCATCAACAAAAAATCATTTTATTGCAAACAGAATAAAGTTCACTGACTAGGATCTAACTATTTGCAATACAACACACCATTTACTAACTAACTTTAACTTAATTCATGTAACTTTCACATGACTTTCCTGCATAGATTGCATTCTACTTTCCACTTTCTCAGATGTTGTAGATTGCTGTACATTATTTGGACTTTTCTCTAAAGATTTGTCATCTTTCTCTTTGTCGTCGTCGTCTTCTTCATCATCTTCTACTTCTTTTTTCGCATTCATCGAAGCCACAAACAATTCATGCATTTTTTCTATGCTGGGGACATCATCCGATGCCTCCCTCATTTGGCGTATTCGTTCCTTTTCATTCTCAAGTTTTTTGTTAAGTCTTAAATAATACTCCATATTAGCACTTTCCATGTCCATGCCGAGTAATTTGATACTTGCGAGCGTGAATGTTCCAGCCGTGAGTCCGAGCAAGCTTCCTGGACACAAGAAGAGGTCAGACGTTAATGCGTTTATTTATTTAATCTATTTAATCATATTTAGCTTTCGAGGATTATTTAATTACCGAAAAGAGTCCCAGCTAAAGTGGCTTTAGGACCGTCTCTAAATTTGTACAGAAACCCAGCCATTCCAGCCCCAACGACTTGATCCATTATTCCATGTTTTCCACGATAACTGGAAATTAATGTGGATCCCGTCCTGAAAGAAGAACATAATTATACTTTCCATCAAAATCAACCTTTTCCAATCAAACTGATAGCAACTAACATGTAGACAAAAGTGAAAGCAGACATTCTCCACCCAATTCTCCATGCTCCTGCCCCCATTCCGATGGTGACCTGGTCTTGTAGCGCTTTCTGTCATGGATGAATGAATTAATGACATCAAAATCATGCAAATTAATCCGATTGTCAATTACCTTGGCTTGCAAAGGGGTTTCAAACTGCGTGACCGTGTTCCTTCTAAAAAAGTCCATGTAAGCAATCCTTGACCTCCCAATGCCACCCATGATTCCGCCAACAAATAGAGCAATAAGGGTGGCATCCTTTATCCGATGTATTTCAGGCGTGATATTACCACATTCGCTGAAAAGTATATCAATTGGTAATACTATTTACTACTATAAGTATTGATTAATTTAAATACTTACTCTCTTGTAAAGATAAGTCGTACCCGTTCCCAGCCGGTCATTTCGTCGCGATGTTTTTTAGCACGGAGAAAGAGTAAGTTATCTTTGTCCACCAAGATGATATCAGGGTCCTTCACGGGGTCGAAGACAGTTTTAAACATGTTATTCCCCATAGTTGAAATTGAGTACTGTCCGTAATAAGATCTCAAAAACTGGAGTTTTGTATAAAAAAAAGTTTTAAAGTGCAATCTCGTGACGAGATTCTCGTCGTTTGTTTAAAAGTACGGTGTGTTTCTCTTATCACAATCTTATCATTAATGCATTTAATTTATTACTATTCGAAACTTAGTATCTACTAAACCAATTCACAATTCGAGTTTCAAATTATACAAAAATTATTTAATATTTACATGACGAAATTGAAACATGTGGATTTGCTTTGCCACAGACCCGACCGGTTTCCATTCCCACTGCAACAAGAATCTCAAGTTTCATGACAAGTACGTTCCACTTCCATGCAATTTGACGCCCTCGATCTTATCGATCGTCAGGGGGTCGCCAAAGTCTTTAAAATTCCCATAATAAAGATGCCTTGGTTTAAAATTATGTATGCGTTCGAAGATTTCGGATTAGATATTTAATATATTGAGATAAAAACGCTATTCTATTAAAATATATTATTATCGCACACTTGAAGAATCACAAGCCCGTCACCACACTCTGAAAATACTAATAATAACATATATTTAGCACTACGGACTTTCGTGGCATTATTCCGGGAGTGAAGGTGGGACTGGTGGGAGAAGAAATAGAAACAAGGCCGATTATTGTGGTGTGATCTTATACACAATGGTGAGATCTTATCTTCTTGACGTTGGGGGATGGCTCTTAGTTTTCAGAAAGCCGTAAAATAAACGATGATCCCAACAATGGCCAAGACAAGTAGAACTGAAAAACACAGCAGCGTCACTGAACAGCAGACTCTCGTACACTTCTTTCTCCTCCGGATAAAATCATCATTCTACAAAATATGCGCTTATCATTAAAAATCACCGTCTTTATTATAGTGCTTTAACTCATAGTTATGTAGCTTCACCAGCAGAAGATGCCCCCCAATCGCAGTGATTTTCAAGTTTGGTCCCATCTCATTCCCGAAAGCAATGCAGAAATGGTCATGGGTCACTTTTTCTTTCATCGGCTCTTCAGAATTTGGCCTCAGCACGAGACCTGCACTGTTGGATTTCTGTCCTAACCCTGCACTGCCTATCGATGCTACTGATAAGCGGCCAATCTTGGCTAATTGTGGTTCATCCGTATTTAGCAGCGTTGCTCTCCTCAAATTATCTCCTAGTCGAACAGTGTCAACGTACGATGCCCTTTTCTTTCCTTGACCCCCATCACCAGCCGCGATGGACCTTCTCCCCCCTTGGTAACCCGCTTTCAACCTGGTCGTCTCGTCGATAAGGAGCCGTCTCTCGTTTATCTGTCCCATCGCCGTTATTTTTACCCTGTCCTTCCTAAACCGATACAACTTAAAGTCAGGAGCACGTTGAAACAAGGACAGAATGGAGGACTTGTTTTGGTCAGTGATGAAATATTCTTCAATCCCGTTCGCAGAGTACATGATACATTCCCGATCAACAAAAGCTATCACTTTTACGCAAAAGTCATACAGTTAAATTGCAGCAACTGATGGCCGGCAAAAATCCGTGAAAAGATACTAGATATTTAACGTAAAATAAACTGTCAATATTGCATAGAATTGACAGTCATATTCATGCAATTTAGCCTCAAGAATATTGCGTAGAAATAACCGTCAAATTAATGCAATTTATAGCGTAGAATATTGCGCAAAAGAAACGAATAATTTGATGCAAAACTTGCAGTTAAACTCCATGCAATTACTGCAGTCAAATAACACGAATTATTAATTTTTATCAAAATCATTTATTTCATAACAAAAATTATATTGTTACATTATACAAGGGAATGCAAATGTTTTCATCTATTTTATCCGACGGGAGTAACCAACATTTCTTATCAATATCATTAATACCTATTATGGTTACGCTATTTGATAATTTGCTAACTTTAATTATTCCTAAAATTTTACTTTCACACGGACAAGTGAACAAGTTGTCCGAGTGTTTGAATTTTCTACAATTTATATGTTTTTTATCTTTACTTATACTACTTATAACAACTACTTTCCCATCCTTTAATATAAAACAATGATCCTTTCCGTTCGATTTTATAATACAGTGTCTATTTAAATTCACAGGGGACTGGTACTTATGATTTTCTCTCTCAGCAGTGCGATTCACAGTTTGCTCAAAAGGTATATAGTGAGCTCGTAGCGAGCGCTTTATTACTTGCATATTATTTTCGAAATCGAAAGCACTAAAAGAATCTAACGGGCCATGCTTTAAAGCGTCATCACTAATATGTATAAGAGAATGCATATTATATGATAAGAACTCTTCTTCATATAAATTGGGAACATTTTTAACAAACTTCAATAAAAGCTGTCGTGCATAATCGTTCCAATTATTTGCTTGCGCCTTGGTAGTTATAAGAATCGTGACTGCTACGCAAAGATTTAAAAAATGTGTATACTTTTTCGGCGACAATAATCCTTTTAAAGCGACGGGTCGTGTATAAAGAAGAAAAGTTCTAAACTCTGTCGCTTTCCACATATCTAACTCTTTTACTGACCTCGGCTTACGACAAAATTCTTTAGGGCAACTATGCGAAAATAATACTAATTTACTTGATAAAGTTGAAATATCACGAGAAGATAATTTAAATGGCAATGGACCTTTTACCCAACTTCTTAATAGTTTTATAACCACACCTAAGCAAATGAGGTGCATGTAGTCAAGAGGAACCGAAGAAATCATCAAAATTTTAAGCTCCGTAAACGGGGAAATGCCTACATGGTGGTGTTTATCTTTTTGAACATAAAAATCTTGATCTGTCCTAAGTGGACTATCGAATGTTCTGAAAATTACACGTCCCTTCCAGAAACCTGGATCTATACATTTCTCGCATCCATTGTATGCATTATGACTTTTACATTGCTTTAAAAAACTCCTGGCTGGCGCATCAGCTATTATTTTTGAAACCTTACAAAATATTTTCAAATTATTGTAACTAATCCCAACTCGCAAACTTTTTAACTCTGCTATCAAATCCATCAAGTATTCGTCAATACTTTCTGGTTTTGTCTTGCCATAAAATAAACCCACGACAAATACGCCGTACGTACTTTGCTCACACTTTGCTTGAATTGGCCAAAACTGGTTACTGTTACTCTTAGAAATGGGCAATCCATCAAAACTAAATATAAGGTTTAATTTAATTTCGCTACCAGAAGCAAGAATACAATTGGAATCTATTTGCCGTTTTATATTTTGAATAACATCAAAGTGTGCATATTGACCCTGACCGATAGTTTTCATAGAGTATTTAATTGAGTTTTTAAGCAATTTCCTACTATCCAATGGAAGAAATCTAAATTCTTGATAAAAGTTAAATATGCGTAGAAGATCGTTTAAAGCTACTCCCGTTATGTTATGTCGAAGCGACCAGTCCCTCAAGTCCCGTGTTAAATCTAAAATATTCCTATTATTTTCTACTACACCATTGTCGCTTAGTGAATCGGAAACTAATGGCTCGTCACTATTATAGATAACATTACTGCTTGTATCATTATTGCTAATATTACTACCTGAATCGCTATCCTCAACGACAGAATCACATATATCTAAATTTACAAGATTATTACTAATAGCAGGTATGTTTTTTGTACGAGTGAGATTCTCTCTAACCCGTTTTGCAATTATTCGCCTAATGTTTCTCGGTGATTTTCCATCTCGATCCATGATTATGATGCAATTCCCGAGGGAGCGTCGTCGTTGCACCTACTTTTTGAAGAACGAAACCAATTCATTGCTGCAGTTTGAATTATATCATCGGTGGGAATACGGCCGCTGGGATTTTTGGGATCGGGAACGGACTCAACTGTAAAGACGTTTCGCACGGTTTCTGAAATTTGCAATCCAATTAAACATTAAATAGAGACCAACAATTAGAAAATTTTCTTCATTTTAGAATATATTTTAGCACCTTTTACGACTTCCAGTAGTTTTAGGTTTTTCATCGATGTCTTGTTTCCTTTACCCGTAAAATTAATTCGCCTGCCAAATTCATTCGTAAATAATTTTTTCAAGATTTTTCTAGTGCTCGCCTCGATCTGTGTCGCAGTTGAAAATGCCAAATATTCAACCTAGTATCAAATATAAGAAAAAAACATTAAAGTTTAATTATGCATGTAAAATATCTCGATTAAATCGTACCAGTAATTCGCGATTTGAATCCACCTCGAGCCAAGATTCAAACTCCGCCAGTGCTACCTCGTTGTCGAGGGGTAATTTTGGAATGGCACTGAAATTGGGAGCCTTCCTACCATCCGGCCTTTGTTTCACATTAATCAGTAAAGCCTTAATGTCTTTAATGTCTTCAGCCTGCTTTTCCAACAAAGTTAGCACACTTTGCGTTGTCCCTGCAACGTGATTACAAAGCGTTAACATAATACATCAATTTTAATAAAATTATTTTGCTTGTACTAACTTGAAATCAACAGCCGTAAATCATTTAACTCCTGCGAATTTACAACAACAAAAGAGGTGTCTCCAGTTTCAACTTGATTTCCTACTTGTAGATTGCTTTGCTCTTCAGTTTCGGGAATTATTTCAGGAATGCTCAATGGTTGGTCTAAAAAGCATCACCATAATGATTAGTATAAAATATTTGTGGCAGTATTATAAGCCTACCCAGCTCCAAATTATCCAGAAGTGAGCCAGACGGAGGACTGTTTTTGTTCGCGTCGCTATCCTCCTCATCGGATGAAGACGTTACATCCCCTCGTGTGCTGCTGGGCTGAATATCGGGAATTATCTTCTTGCTCCTTAATCTGCTTTCTGGTTCTGTTTCACTTTCCAAGTTGGAAGTGTCCTCGGCTACTTGAAGTTTTTTTGTCGCAACTTCATAATCATCTAAAATAATGATATTTGTTAGTAAATGTAAAATAATTGGAATGACTTCTCACAATTTGAATTAAATAGCTATTTACCGTAATTCCCAATAATCCTGGCGTAGCTAACTCTTCCCCACTTGACATCAGGAATAGCAGTGCCCTTTTTTATCAAATTTCTAATACTTGGCCCAGAGTTTGGTGGCCAGAGACAAACTTTCTCTGCGGGGATAACCCAGTGACTTGGAACAAGCTCCACAGGCACTGAATTGTATTTATCAGGGGGGAATTCAATTATGTAATATTTTTTTGGCGACATTGAGACAACAGATAAATTAACAGGGAATTAAATTAACAGGGAATTTACGAGACTGCGAGGGTGGGAGAGAAAAGGAAATACCACGCTTCTCTTAGATTCAAACTCTCGCGCGTTGCCTGTCTCTTCGCACCCACCATTCATTGCGTATAAATTGCATGATTTTAACGCCTCATGTAATGTGGGTATTGAAGAGATATTGGTGCGGTATTTTTACGCAATATCTCAGCACGTTTGGGTGCAATAATTTTTCAACCATAGGTTACAGTTTTTTAATGCAAATTTAGCGTGTCTCACAGTGCACACCAAACTTAGCACAAAATTTATGCAATAATCACGCCTTTTTTTGTTTGTTAAAAATTTTCACCATGGATGCGTTACTTTGACGCAAAAGTAATAATTTTTGTTGATCGGGTTCCGACTTGAGGGTAGCAGTGGGACCTTTTTTGGACAACTCGGCCAAAAATATGATCAGAAAACGAACCTGGTTTACAAGTTGGATAATGAGCCGTAATTGTCTGCAATTAAATATCTGTTAGTTAACTATGAAAATAGTTTCTTAATCTTATATCTTCTTGTAAATTGTTCTTGCCCCGTTTAACCCGAGAAATTTAACTTCCCCGACGAAATTGACGAGCAGCGTGCCATTATTTTCCCCGTCGCCCTTGTCTCTGAGAGTATAGCGACGCCCTGGGGTATTTTTGTCAGGAGAGTCAAGAAGTTCAAAGAGCCCAACGCCATTCTCATCAAGGATGTCGAATCGTCTATCTATTTGACACGATTTCATTGACTGTCGTGAAATTTGTGGGTTAATAACTTAACTTAACTCACTCACCATTGAGGGGATGCCTCCTTAGAAATATTCTAGTCAAGGGGTCTAGAATCGTTTGCAATCTATTATAAATGGCTTCGTTGGTGACAAAGTTGATGTCTGAGTTTTCCACTTCAATGGAGACGCTGGACGCTGCAAGAGTTTCCGGAGATACGATTCTAGTCCCACCAGGTACTTTGGAGGGTGTGGTGACTGGGTCGTTCCTCTTCATTTATTTATTCGTAATTATGTTTACTTGTGGGGAGGATGATAAGTTGTGGATTGGCTTGGCTAATTTCACGGGAACGTAAGAGCTGGAGGATGCAAGAAAATTGGCCGGTAATTGGAGATCAGAGCCTGACAACTAATCACTTAACGTCTTTGCTACTTAAAAACTTTGATGTAAAGGATGCTACCGAATGGAGATATGAAGTTGAATATTTATAAAACACGCAATAAAAATACAATGTGGCGAAATAAAACTTGGCGTAATGCAAAATGTTACCAAGATCACGAAACGTGAGTCAATTCGTAAAACGAATACGTGGGTGGAATTCAATACCATTATACCACAATACCACAATACCATTTTGTGCATTTTTCATTCATTTCTTGCATGACACAAAATATGCGACCACGACCAGTATGAATTTTGCAAACTTATTTTCGACTCAGAATTAAATATTTTGTAAACATAATGGTCATAAAAAATTATAAATGAAATGCATTCTAATTTCTAAGAAAGGCTAATTGTTTTATTAAATGATGATCAACGTCCTACCAATATTTACATATGCATACAGCTTTCATCCAGCCATTCAAAGCTTGCATTTCTTTCTCTGACAGTAATTTTGAAAGTTTTGTTGCCACTTCCATTCAACGGAACATAACAAGCAACATTTTTAAACTAACTTATTAATCAAAATGCGTAATAAATTATCAGCTAATTATTTAATACACATGGCAAAATTAGTATTTCTAGCACTATTAATCATCCTCCCCTGTTCGGCATTTCCGAGCAAAGTGTTGGGTTTATTTCAAGCCCACAAGCACCACCACCACAGTCACAGCAATCACCGCACAAAGAGGAATCTGGGTCAATTAATCGCCCTGGTCGTGCAAGACACGCCGTACACATTTTACAAAATGTCGGGTTACGGGAACTGGTGTGGCCTGGGAGGGGACAGGATGGGGGACGGGTCTTACGTGGATGGGTGTGACTTATGCTGCAAAACTCATGACGAGTGCTACTACACAGCGAGACATAAGCATTCTGGTAATTATTTAATTTCAGAAACCTTGATTTAATGATAAAATGTTGAGTTTGTAAATATGTAAATAGGATGCAATCCATTACTCACCATGTATCATTATCGACATGGGGGCGAAGGTCCCACCCTGGAAGGAAATACTTCCGCAAAGAAACGAGAGCTTGAAAAGATGAGAAATTTGCCATCATGTCTTTCGACCGAGAATGAGGGACCATCGTGTAAAGAGGCCATTTGTCAGTGTGAGTATATTGATTAAAGCTACCAGCTTTATCAAGTTAAGGGGTTGTGTTACATTACATTTTGTGGTTACAACAGGTGACGTAAATTTTTCAATTTGCCTAAAAAAGGAACCCTGTGATCCGAAAAAGGTATCGAAAAGGTCGACACTGTGGTGGCTGCCAGGATAAAGAAGCCATTCTTTGACGTCATTTGCAGGTGTTGGATTCATATGATGATCTCACCGTCATATAAATAAATATAGTGTATGATATATGCTTATAACAATCCAGAAGTAGTGTAGTAGAAATGTCAGTTTATTATAGAATGAAATGTGATACGCTGTAATATTGACGCTAATTTGAGTGAAGTGATTAGTGTATTCCGGCAAGAATTTGGCTCACGAAAAGTAATGGTAATTGTTGTACAGTTTGCCAGATCTGTTTCTTTATGTTTGCATCATTGAATCCAGTTTTTCATGCTTGTGTGTACCCTTGAACTTGTATGAATAATTTAGCCGTCTATTTACATTTGCTAACCCAAATTTCGCGAATTTCGCTACAATTTCCTCAATTTTTTTAATGCCGTTGGATGGATTGCGATATAAAATTGCTGCGGTGTCCATAATAATCCACACACACACTATGCATACATATCAGATACGTATTATAAAACTAGCCTCTTCCACAATTTTCTCACGGATAAACTAGCCAGTGCCAGTAATGAATTGCTGTCATTAAAATTCTTTACACTTTGTGAAAAATGAATATCCCACAAATACATATGATATTTATGCAGATATAGCATACTAACTCACACACACCGTAATATAACATCGTCATAAAAATCTACTTATTTATATAACAAAAGATTGTCCATTTCTCTGCATTCTTTGTGGCTGCATTTCACATCTTATTATATATTCTAGAACCAATTTTTTCCGTTTCTTTTGTGATGGGGTAACTTTTCTAATGATAAATTGAGGATGTGTGTACCATCATTTCTTGTCCTTGATTAACCATCATTAAACAAATACTAACTCTTGGCCAGCACTGTTTGTTAACCGTACATAGATACATACCTGCTGCATGCATACTACACATATTTGTTATGCAGTCCCATTTCCGATAAAAAGATAACAGCTAATTATTACATAAAACGACTCTCCATCAAGTGCACAGTATGAGTTCTTCACACAGTTTGGAAACCTGGAGCTGAGACAATGTCACCAGTAGTCTTATTAATATCGGTTCTGTTCATTTTCGTCCCAATTTTGGCCAATCGTCACCTAAGTAAACGTGGGGTTCTGGAGCTGGGCCTGCTAATTGAGACGCACACGCATCACCCCGCCACGAAATTTATTGACTATGGGAACTGGTGCGGCTTGGGGGGTGACCGAGCTTGGGACGGCTCCGTGAAAGATGGCTGCGACTCTTGTTGCAAAAATCATGACGACTGTTATTCCCAGCTACTTTATAGGACGAGGGAATTCCATTTTATTCACTTGAAGGCACCACGCCGTGGGTAAGAATAAGGGTCACATTATCGTTGGTCCAGTTTTGGGGCTAAAATTATATATTTATCTCTATAATTTATGCAAACTTATCAAGTTGAGATATTTAATTAAAGGTGATAATTATTTTGTGATTGTCAGACTGAACTTGCTGTCAAGGGCGTGTCGTCCCCATACTGATGGGTATGCTAAATTTATTTTTATGCAGAATTCGTTACCGTATTTGACAATCGACTTGTTGATCGAATCGCCACAATTGACAATTTTTTGCATTCTTTACATGTATGCACAGCTAACTTTCTCTTCTCTATGAAATTTTTTGACACTCTTTCCATAATTAATTAACAAATGGCATGACATTTTCAAACAACTATCTACACATGGAAGACAACACGAGTACTTTTAACTACTTCAATTCCTTGAAATTTGTCGTGTTTGTTCGTGAATAAGTACATAATTGTGATACTTATGTATTAATTAGGTATTCAATCCTGCCAGCCGTGGCGACCAGGAGTTCGGAATATCATCCCACGCTGTCCTGCTCCCTGGAAAAACGTTTCTGCTCAAGACGGGCATGCATTTGCGACATCTTGTTGGTTTATTGCCTTCAAAAGTTGGATCAATGTTCACCAGCAGAACGGCAAGAGTAGAATTATTCAATTAATGAAGAACGATATGCAATAAATAATTGACTGATAATAAAGAACACTAAATAATTGTCTCATATTTCTCTTGTCTCAATATTTCCACAAAATTCTGTCTCAAGTTCTCACTCACTATGAAATTGCACCAACAGCAGCATAGCACCGTCCACCATCTATCCAACTAATCAAGCAGCAAGACCACACACAACCGGCGAAGCAGATGAAACAGACAGATTTTGTTCGTTAATTTTTAAAATTACAAATTAAAATTTCTCCCGGATTGTGGAGTACTGTTTTTTGAAGTTTCGAATACAGTAAAGCCACTTCCTCCACCCAAAATATTTAATTGAGCAATAGTAGTTATTATCTTGGTGAGTTGAATAGGGAACTGCAACTTTATTTATTTAATTCCTACATTATTCCTGACCTGATTTTAAAAAAAATATTTAATTTAAACGTTTAATTTGATTAATCCAGCTTCATCATGGTTTACCCGTCCCCCTTCTCAATCCTGGAGAATAGCAATACCTCCTCCCTCCAGTATTTGGTAGATAGCAGCGAAGAAGACGAGGACGGATTTTTGGATACGTCTTCACTCAGGGGGATAAGTCTTAGCGGAAGTGAAATTGGCGTTGGAAATAGTGGTCCAATAATTGGTACAAGTGCAACTACTATTACTCCTCCCCTACCAATGCCACAAACTGTCACTTGGAAACAACCCGACCTGGTGGGCCCCGTCTTTATGCGACAACGCCATAGAGCCTCGAGTGTCATGTCGCCATCTTCATCATCCTCGCTATCCCCACCAGCCCCACCACTGTCCGTTCACAATTTCACTTACCCCCTTGGCCCTGGCCCTCCTCAACCCGAGAGGAGTATCCTTGCTACTCTTACCATCGATCAAGACATTACGAAACAATTTTCTTCTTTGTTCACTACTTCCTCATGGGAAACGCTCTTCCCCGTCGACGACGTGAGTAAGCATTATAGGGACTTGGTCCTTGAAAAATTAAGGGGTAAGCTTTCTCGCGGGGAGTACTTGGCAGATCCTAGAGTTCACGATGTCCTCCTTTTGATCCGGTACCAACCAACCAAGCTCATGTGTGAAATTATCGTTGTCATACTTCTCGCCATGATCAATTCTGATATGAAAATGGTACTAGACGCGATAGATAGACTCAAAAAGTGGCTTTGTAATCCCCAAATCTGCCAAAAAGACGGCCAGAATACCTTGTATCTGCATGTCGCATACATCATCCACGCCTTGGAGGTAGAGCTGCTGACGGGAGGTGGAAAGGATCGAGAAGGAAAGAAACCTGCACTGGCCAAGGTGGGTTTCGATGAGAGAAAGAATTGGGGGATGGCATTGAGAAACAAAATGTCCCTTCTCATCTGGAAAGTGGAACACCTCTTGAGGCCGAGGAAGGATTGGGAGGATGAAGTGGCGTATCCACCCGCCGAGGAATTTGGCGATGTCGAATGGCTCCTCGAGCTGACTCAGTTGCTTCGTGAAAAGAGGATTAATGGTCCTTTTCCAAACGTAGTATCGAAAATGGAGAAAGATTATATCAACCAAGCGGTCAGGTTGGAGCCGAGAAACCCTTTCGTAAAGTTGGGATTGTTGCAGATGATTTCGGACAAAAAGAAGGGACAATCAGCATCTCTGAGTCCTGAGTTTGATAAGAGTTGCAGGTATGATGAAAGAATGCTATTGTGATTGATAGAGATAAGTTCAACAGATGAGAATAAGCTATTTAAGCATCGTTTTGTAAATGATTGTTTCTGATTTTGTTTTCTTTAGAAATTTGATCAATCGTTTTTCATGCTCGTGCGTACTTCGAATACAAATTGCAAAATTCTACATTGGAAGGGGAAGAAATCGTGAAACAGCGATGGAGTACGTGCGCTATGCCATTAAGTGCAACCCAAATCATCCTGAGGCTAATTTACTCGCTGCTAAATATCTCACCGGTTGTAGAGATGACGTAAGTTTGGTTGAACTAACTAAATATTTTTAATGGGCTAAAAAGCCAATGTTTCTTCTGACTTTCTTCATAGTCGAAGGCCCGGCTCAATTTTAAGACGCGTGAAACCTACTATCGCACGGCAATGATTTCGGATCCGACTAACTATATCGCTACGATTGAATATTTCTGCAATGCGCTTGGGTCGAGAAAAGCTATCACAGAAACGATGGCACTACAATCTCTTTTTGAAGACCCATCATCGGCAGGTGGAGGAGCAGAAGGAGATGGGGTCGCTCTTACAACTTCCCTTCCTGAATCCACAGCCACACCCACAATCCCCGAAAACCTTACAAGAGGAGGACACGTTTATTCAACCGGCCTGGGTGCATTGATTGCAAGTTATAGGAACCGATGTACAGGGGTGTTGGATGATATCTTATCTGCATCATACTTTCCTGCTTGGCCAGATGAAGCAAAATCAAAAATACAATTTTTGCAAGTGCTCAATTTCTATGCTTCGGAGGAATTTGGAGAAGCCTTGGAAAATTTGCTTCATATTTATAAGAAGAATTTTGTCACTTCCATGATCCATGTAATATTGCATTCTATTGATTCTATTACTTATCTCTAAATATTGTTTAATTATTATGGATAAATCAACTACATTTTGTTCTCTTATAGAGTTTGGACGACTACTGTCACAAATACAAGTGGGATACGAAACTGAACTTTGCAACATTTAAGCGTTGGCTGATCCAAGAATATGACGACATTCTTGAGATGGAGCGTGAAGACAAAATTGAACTTCAACAAAGTCAAGCTGAAGTGAACGCTTCGGAGGAAGATAATGATGCAGACGCCAAGAACGAGCCTGAACTATCTGAAGATTATGAAGATATTAACGACAACTCGGAGAGTGATGATGATATCAAAGAAATGTTGGCTTATCTTCTTCAGATTTTGTGAAATTTCGTTACAATTCTCTGAATTTGTGTTCAAAATACAGTTTGTTAATTTAAATATTTATAAGATTTATTACAAAGTGTTGCATTATCATTTGGTCCAGGGTTTCATTCAATTATTGTAAAAAAAATCCAAGTTAAAAAACTTTCCTTCTGTATGTCATTTAGATTTCCTACATAAAATGACACTTTAATTCTCTTCCGGTTCATACGATTTATTGTAGAACAAATTATTATTATTTATCTATTTCACATGTCGTCGCAATTACAAAATTCTGTAGTATATTAATAATAGTCCGGTATTCCTCAATTGGGCATAAATAGTATTTAAAAATTAGTTAAAATTTGGACACTGAAAAAATATAATAAAATTGGTGAATCTTTTCGTATTTGTTGCTTGTTGCAGATTTCCCTGATTTTCACCAACCAACTTTAAATCTCTGTTGGGTTGGATGTGGAATTTTGCTACCAGCAGCAAGAACACAATATTTAGCAAAACATGTTGACAGTTGTACACAATTTTGCACTATTAATTTTTGCATTAGTTTTACTTTATCGAAATCCAAATTTTAGAGTTTTATGGACAAGTGTCTTATAATTATTATTAGGTTATTATGTGTAGGACTAGGACATGTCAAAATCTTCTAGTAATTAATTACTAATTTTGTGACCAAGTAAGACCGTTCAGGATGTACTTTAGTTTTGGGTGGCCTCGAATTCTCCGAGTTCCGGAGGCAGATCCACCCAGTCCGGTTTCACAAGTGGTCGCTAATCGAGATAAAATCATCTTTGCTGTTCTTACTCACTCATCGCTGTCAATTTGGACGTCTCGGGTAAGTAATGTCACTTGTGAAATGGCGAATAGTCTAGAGTGGGAGATAAAACGATGGATATTTTTTAAATGATCACAGCCATGTCTTCCTGTCGTTTGTCACGAGCGAAGTCCCACCTCTGTAGACAAGTTGGGACCGAACGTCGCCCTTATATGGAAACCAGACTCGACAGCGATTGTCGTCGTGGTATGTACTTATTTACATTGGCTCCAACAAAGACAAACTGACCTTCAATTATTTAATCATTCACTTAACCAGTATTTATCATTCTTTACTAGACGGCCGGAGGGTATCTCTTGTTCTACGGGTTGTCCAGTGGAAATAAAAACCTATACGAACAAATCGACCCAGATAACCATAAGCTTCGACGTGAAAGTGACGAGCTTTTTCTTAAAGAACCCATTCCAGCCATCACGCTCCAACTTGTAATTCATACACAATATAATTAAAATTAAGTAAATGATAGTTAAATAATTTACTCGTCCTATTCATCAGGTTCAAGAAATTGCAGTTCGTGGCAAATTCATAGGATGTGTCGCCTTGTTTCGCGATGAGCTTATGGTGTCCACGGATGAAAACCATATTTTACGATATCGATGGGACGGCACGGTCAATAACGATTTTTGCATCGATTTGAGAAGAATTCCCTTCTCACTGGATCAACAAGCTTCCCGAGCTGTTCCCATTACCGTACAAACTATTCTTAATTTTGCTACTATTTTCTTGTTAGTTATATGTGTAAAATTATGTAATAATTGTCCTCTCCGTAGGAATCAAACGTGTATCCCGTCAATCTGCAATATTCTCCCCTCGTTGGTGGATTTTCTCTTGTCCTGTCCGACGGACGTGCAGCATTTCTCACGGCATCCACCAAAGCTTATGACCCCAACAGCGTGCAAGGTAAGATATTGTTTTTGTAAAACATTGTAATACATTTAAACATGACAATTTACACAATATTTTTACATACAAGGAATTTGGGCTTCCAACATTGACGACGCCACATTTTCCAGTGTTAATCACAAGTACAGATTACTATCGTTTGGGCGAAAAAATGCGGAAACTTCAGTCTTTAGTGTGGACGATCAAACGGGCGGACTTCAGCTTTTATTCCATTTGAAACTGTCGTCTAAAGATTTTCCTGGGTCCCCAGGGCCTGTCAAGTGCATGACGTGGACGCCAGGTAAACTTTAAAAAATTGTATACAGCATAAAAGGACTCAACAATGACAATGTATTATTAACTTAGACGGATGTGCCATTGCGATATCTTGGGAAAAAGGTGGTTTCGCCCTTTGGTCTGTGTTCGGTTCCCTCCTTACATGCTCCTGGTCATGGACCGGAGATTTGTCCCCGTTTGCTCAGAAAATAATCAGATCCCTCGACTGGGCTGCAGAGGGCTACCAGGTTAACGTTTTTCCATAAAACAAATTTATTATTAATTTGACAATTTCAAATAATAATAATTACCCATTCCAGCTCTGGATGGCTGTCGAGGAGAACGCAATGAACACCGTGAATGCCTATATACCCTCAAAAACGGGTGAATTTCCACCCAACAGAAAGACATCGAGATCAAACTCGCTCCCCGATATTTGCTTGAGTGCGGGACTATTTGCAGTCATCCCGTTCGTAAAGAGCTCTCTCACTGTGAATCCGTCAATGAGTCAGATTGAACACTTATACTTGCAAGGGGAGGATCGACTCCTGATTAATTTTAGTGGAGAATCACTTCTCGCAAATAGTGGAGGAGGAAGGTCGAGTGGTGGTGGATTCAGTGGGGGTGGCAACAAATCGAAAGCAAACGAACAAATCGCACCCTTGGGGAATAGCAAGAATTGGGTTGTTGTTCCTATTCCGCATACTTACTCTGCTACGAATTGGCCAATCCGGGTAAATTTCTTTGTTTTTCTTCTAGTTACAAAGTGGTCTTTGTGGCCTTTGATCTGTACCTTTAATCTAATTGTAAATAATAATAAACAATGATTATGAATAGTACACCGCTATGGACCCCGAAGGTCTCAACATTGCCGTCTCTGGCCGCTACGGCCTCGCCATGTACTCCATAATGGAAAGGAAGTGGAAGTTGTTTGGCAATGAGGCGCAAGAGAGAGATTTTGTCGTCGTGGGTGGAATGATGTGGTGGCGAAACTATCTCGTCGTTGCCGTGTATGATATTGCTCAAGATCGAGACGAATTACGATTTTATCCACGAGACTCGAAACTAGACAACAAATTTGCTCATGTGAAACAACTTCCATCTCAAATTTTACTCCTCAGTTTGGATCGGGACAAGTTGCTCGTGTTTGCGGCGGACAGTACTTTGGCAATTTTTCAGTTGAGGAGTGATCTAATTCACGATGTGACTAATCCAAATGCTATTGGTGAGAATGATATATAATAATCAATTATATGTATAATAATTTGTGGACAAATCTCATCTAAAATTAATCCCGTTTTTCAGATCCCTGCGACTGCATGCAAACGATTGACATTTCTGCTCTTTGTGTCCATCCTGCCTGTGTGATATCCATTTACCTCACCACCCTGAAAACTTCCTTCTCCTCTCCCCCGACCACCCAACAACACAGCGTCGTCATCAATGTCTCCGGCCGACTCATGATTCTCCATCACGAATTCCTTGTCCAAGAGAATACACAGGGAAGTGCGCCTCAGTACATAACCCCCACCGTATTGGCATCCTGCGTGGAGATGATTTGGTTGCCAAGAGCGTGCAATAATGGGAGCAGCGAAGCGTCCCAAGTTTGCTCAACACACCACAACCACAACCCATACCTTAGCGAGGCGTTGTGGCTCTACTGCGGACAAGAGATGCGGGTGTGGCTTCCGCTAAAGGAAAAATCACAGAGTTCTGTTCATACGTTTATATCGAGTCGAATCATGTTGGGATTTCCAATTTCAATTTATCCTTTGAGTGAGCCTGATTTATTTGACTCACTTGATTGTTTTTAATGCAAATTTAAATGTTTCTATTTCCCTTTGTACAGCAATATTGTTTGAAAAGGCTATAATCTTGGGGGCGGAAAACGACTGTCTGTCGTACGCGAGTGTGAGCAGTGTTGTTAGTGCTACATCAGACCCGAATGGATCACTCTACACGCTATTTCCATTCTGTATCCTCCAAAGAACGGTAATATATTGATAGTTTATCAATAGAATAAGTTTATATGCATTTTCTGTCCTTCAACAGAGTCAAGTCTACCTCCATCAAATCCTGAGACAATTAATTCGTCGAAACCTTGGATATTATGCCTGGGAGATTGCTCGAAGTTGTTCCAAGTTACCTTATTTCCCTCACTCGTTGGAACTTTTGTTGCACGAAGTGTTGGAGGAAGAAGCTACCAGTAAAGAGGTAAATCCAGTTTGACAATTGCTTACTTGTCTAATTACCTCAAATATATATAAAAAATCTACTATCCTTTTTTGTGCAGCCCATTCCGGACGCTCTTCTTCCTTCCGTGATAGAATTTGTGCGAGAATTCCCAGTCTACCTTCGAACGGTAGGACAGTGTGCGAGAAAGACAGAGTTGGCCTTATGGCCGCATTTATTCTCCGTTGCGGGACGACCTCGCGCCTTATTCGATGAATGCCTTCAACGTGGCCAACTCGATATTGCTGCGACGTATCTGCTCGTCATTCAAAACCTTGAGTCTCCCACTGTTTCACGAAAATTTGCTACGCAATTAATGGATAAAGCGTTAGAAGGGAGGAAATGGGATTTGGTGAAAGATCTAGTCAGATTTTTGAAGGCGATTGGTACGTTAAAATTATCACTGCCTACCTAAGTGTACGGCTAATATCTATTATTGGTTGGCCAGATCCCTGTGATGTTGAACCCATGCGCTCATCCGTTGTTCGGTTCAACATGCAAACGCCCCCGGTGAGCCCATCCGAATACGACATTTCCATGGTCCTGGGAACAATGCAAGTCCCCCGAGTGAGAAGTTTGAGCACATCCGTCGTCCCAAAATTCGCCCAGGACGCAACGCATCGTGAATTAAGCAGAACAAATTCAGAAACACGACCCTCACCTCCCCTTCCATCAAATATTCAGCAAGGACAGTCCTCTAACTCACCCAGCCAAATATCTCCCTCCTCCAAAGCAAGCGTATCAACTCCTCCGACAAGTGGTGGCGGTGGTAGCGGTTTAAGTGGACCCAACAATAATTACGCATCCCCTTCCAGTGTATTTGCTGACACGGCTTCCTTGTCAGGATCGAATTATCAGCAAATGCAACAGGCATACCTCAGCGGTGGTGGTGGTGGGTATTACGACGGTATAGACAAACCTATATCTGGTGGGGTCACATATGTCGACGCAATTATTGAGCGACACGCCAGGAAAATTTTATCCGAAGGAAAATTACGAGATTTAGGAAAGTTGGCTGCCCATCTCGATTTTCATTTAGTCAGTTGGTTGCAAAAGGAGAAGAAAAAGAAGGGGGTAATGGTCACAGATTTTGTTGCCGCGTTAAAGATGATTCATACCGAGTTTGAATGGCCGTACCCCGAATTTTCTAATTTGACGATGCACAGTAGAACACCGTCCACTGGTGAGAAACGTTACACAATTTTTAAGAATTAAACCCTCTTGTTTAGACTGTCGGACTATATTTATAATGCATATGTTCTTGTCTTCTCAGAATCCATAAAATTCCCGTCGCCGGAAACCACCTCACCATTAAAACCATTGACCGTAGATGTGTTTGGAAACCGTCACTCATTTTCAAGACCTGGTGGTGGGGACAGCGGGTACAATTCTGCACCGGGAAATAACGGAGAAAACCATCGTTCAATGGAAGCTAGATTGATGCCGCATTCCGTTATTATCGGTATTAGATTAGTTGCTGTTTGTATTTTTCTGCGTATGTATTCAGATGCTGTGAAATTATTTATAAATCCTTGTCCATGGTATTGCAGCGGACGACACGGTCAGCATACTCAGTGAAGAAAGTATGATGATGGATCAAAGCCCAATTCAACCCTCAGACTTCACGCCGATTATACATTTACCAGAAAATGCTGGAGAAAATAATGTGGCCTCACTAAATTCATCCAAGGCTGGGGTGCAACTTCGTTTCTTACAACAAATAATGTGGGAAGCAGGTAAGGATAGATCCGTAATCCAACCAGAGATCCGTGATTAATGAATTTTTTTGTGGGATTAAGGATTAAGGATTAATGTTATTCCGGGATTAGATTAGTCCAGGATTAATTAAATAATTCAATTTGCTGGGATTAAGGATTAAGGATTAATTCACAATGCTTTTGAATTCGGGATTAAGGATTAAGGATTAATTAATCCTGATTAATTCATGATTAAGGATTAATATAATTTTTATTTTCCTGCACAGAATTATCGACACAGCGATATTAATGTGTCAAATCTCAAATACTTACAAAACGTGCAATATATAGTAGTGTTGCGTTAAGTACGTAATAAAAATCAATGTTGGAATAATATCCCCGCCAATTACGGCAAGTTTTGGTGCACAAGCTATGCCCCTGGCCTTTACAGAGCCACAAGACTTGTCAAGTTCTTCGACATCAAAAAATGTGCCGGTCAAAACGAATGGCAAACCTTTCAGTTCAGTTAGATTCCTGTTCGCCATGATTAACGATTGAATCAGTACTTTTATGGAAGCAACAATATAAAGTTAAAAAATATAATGCATGCTAGATAATTTCAGGAGAGGAAAGTAGAAAGAATGGAAAAATATCACATGGTTGAGAATAACTGTTACCTTGCTCATTCGCAGTATTAATCTCTCGTGAGAATTAATCCTAATCACGATTAAGGATTAATAATTTGGGCATGCTTCGTCGGGATTAAGCATTAAGGATTAATGGAGCAAAAATATTTCGTCGGGATTAAGGATTAAGGATTGATTTCACACATTTTTTTGTTGGGATTAAGCATTAAGGATTATTAATCCTTAATCCCAATCCTTAATCCGTTAATCACGATTAATTAATCACGGATCTCTGAATCCAACGCAAACAATAATTAAACAATCTTTACTTAACTTACTGATTTAAAAAACTTGTAGGAGCACTGGATTGGTCACTCATAATTTCGGTCGCTCTCCGTGACGCTGTTGGCGTTTTTCGGACCGTGAACGCGTCTCGCGATCAACACCCTGATATACTGAGAAACTTGAGAGATGGGCTCATCGGTATCACAGTATGGTCAAATACTCAATGGTAAGTGCATATTTTGTCACGTTTTTGAATGCTATTACCTCATTATTCAATATCTTTATTTATAGTCTCGGATACAAAGTTTTCACCACCATGATCAACACTCAAGTGCACGGATTGCTAGTAAAATATTTATCGTTCGCTCAAACCCAAACTCCAGCCCCAAACAGCCACCTGCTCAACTCATCATCTTCTATTAATAACGATTCTTCCTCCTCATCTCCTCCCTTACAAAATCATCACCATCCTTCCGATCTACAGAGACGAAAAACTGAACCGTTTCTAACCCGAAGTTCTGCAATAACGAATAATAATCCAAACAAATTTGGACCTAATAATAATACGTCTTCGTCCCTACAACCGGCAACAGCATCATCTCGATTCAATAACAGTGGACTTTCGACCGCATTAAATCATCATCACCATCCAGGCCGACTAGTCTCTCCAAAGCCGAGCATCACCAGCATTCCAGATTCAGACGAGACTTCCGAGATCAGTGGGACGGATTCTATAAGTGGGAGGAGGTCTTCCCTTAGTGTGAGAGAAGTCGATGGTGACGGGAATAGGGTGGAATCTTCCCTAAAAACTTCAAAAAGTGAGAATGACATGGTGAACGAGACAGGACAAAGTAACTGTTCCGTCATGTAGTTTCTACTCAATTTTAATAATGAAACTTAACTCGTACTTGTTTATGCACTAGAACTAAATACTAATACGAATAACCAGCATCAAATATTACGTACTATATTATTTCGCTATATTGTTATGTAATTTAAATTAATTGTGCAAAATTCAAATTCTATTTCTACGTTATTAATTTATAAAGTATAAACGACTACCTCATTTTTTATCCAAATTTGAAATTGGGCCGAGTGCAGTCTTGGAATCTTGCACATTTTTATACCCACCCACCAACTCATACATAATAAAATCTATATAATAATGAACGATAATGCAATAATAATGCTACGAATTAACAAAATAGTTGACAACATATAATTACAAATAATGTACAATGCGTAAGTGAATCCATAATATTCCAGTACTAAATGTGTAAACGTGAACATAACCCTTAATAATTATTGCCAAATGTTAAAGAAATCTTTATTGAGAGCGTGTTTTGTGCTATTAATTAGTTTACTAGTTAGAAAATGTGTGGACTTTGTTCAATTGAAATATTTATAGCTTTATTAAAGTAGTTGACATATTGGTATTTTGCCGTGGATTAATTCATGGGCACAACCTGGGTGGAATAGCTGGGGAGAAATTTCATATCCGAAATATCCCCCAGCTATCCCCCCTGTTGCGCCGGTGGATTAGTTTACTTATTACGAGAGTGAAATACAGGTCGTCCAAAGATGTCCAATCCAAAGCAGTCCAGTGCAGTCAAGTGTGATATTATGTAAAGAGGAATTTGTTGGAAATGCAAATATGAAAGTATATGGATAATCATTTAATCATGTAATAAATACAAATAAAAACCGACATCTCGGAAATACAATAACGTAACAATTTTTGATATTTTCTGATTTATTAATACCCATATTTCAATTTTAGTTGGCTTATGCAAATTGCATCATCGAATCATAAAAGTCCTTATGATCATGCAAAAGTGCAAAAATTCCATAAATGTCATAGGGACAGCAAAATTGAGACAAAATGAAGACACTGCCCGCAAAAACAGACTCAGGAGAAAATGCGAATATTTTCAACCACGCGTGAACTGGAAGTTCAGAATTTAATAATTTCAATGAATAATTAACAAAAAATTATAGTTTCATCAGTCTTTAAACTAACGAAAGTACAGTAAACTCTACACTTTTGGTAACAAATTTGATAATATGGCAGACAATCACGGCGCAGCAGAGCCTCACGTAGTTCCACTACTTGAACCATCTTCACCCCCACCGAACGATAAGGTAGCTACAGAAGAATCACCTGTCGAAATTCCTGCGACTGCAAGCAAGACTGCCATGTCGCCCAGTGGAGAAGTCGGGTCAGCGCCACAACCACCGGCAGTTGAAGAGCAGAAGCAATCAGGGTTAACAGCAGCCTCCAAGAAACGAAAAAGACGTATCCGGTACAAGCGGAATAAAAGGTTAGTTAGTTTTGGTGGGATTTCAAAACATGAAACGTAATTACTCGTCAGAGGAGTAATGTCACATTCGTTTAATTTGCATCAATTTGCAGGACTTTGCCACGCACTGGTGATGATGGAACACGATCTACTTCAAAATCTAGAGAATTGACTATCGAATCTACTGGCGCGATGATAACTGATGACAATAAGGATGATGAGAATGACGATGACGAGGAGACGACTTCGTCCGAGGTGGACAATTCTTGTCCGACTGTGACATGGGATTCAAATGCTGAAACAATCGCCGTCATGAATGAAATTGAGGAAAAGATAGAAGAAGAATCTACTCGCTCTACGATAAGTGATCCTGTTATAGTTCAAGTTGATGCAGACATCGTTTCTTCACTTTCTGGACACTATCCGGATTTTTCGAGTGGCACTGGATGGACTTCTTCTCAATGCAGGAATGAAGATGTCGACTTTGCAGGAACAGTCAGTGGTAGTCATTATCAGCCAATTGAGATGGTCGTAGTGGACCAAATTCCTGCTCTGCAACAACCGGAAAAAACTGAGGTGAGTGGTAACCAATTCATGAATGAAGAGGCCAAGTCAGGAGTATATAGTATACAATCTTTTGACGTTAGTTCCCTCGTTTGAATTTTCTTTACCATCTTCAGATTACCCGAATAACCTTGGGAGAAGAAATAACCTTCCCGATTTCCACTTTGGACGACGATTCGCCCAATAACAACTCTGGATCTCCTGAAATCGAGTCTACTCCAACCGAAGAGACAATAACAACCACTTTGACCTCACCGAACAACCTGCCCCTCCAAGTCTCATCGACAATGATGTTACCACTACTCTTGAGGCTACAATTCCACGTAACGCTACCCCGTCTCAGGAGGAATTAGCGTATAATGCAGATGATACCACTTCCACTGTGGAACCACGTACTACTGATGATGGGACAATGTCTACTTCAAAATCTAAAGAATCGGTTACTCAATTTACTCCTGGCTTGGCGACAACTAATGACAATAAGGACAATAATCGCGGCGATGACGAAGGGACGTTTTTCTCTGAGTTGGAAAATTCTTGCCCGACTATACCGTGGGATTCATACCCTGAAACAGTCGCGTCTGTCATGGATGAAATTGACCAGATGTTAGAGGAAGAATCTACCACAAGTGATCCTGGAGTAGTGCAATTAGATGAAGACATCATTTCTTCACTTTCTGGGCGCTATCCGGATTTTTTGAGTGGTACTGGTTGGACTTCTTCTCAATGCAATGACAAAGATGTTGACTTGGCAGGAACAGTCAGTGGTGGTCGTCATCAACCAATTGAAGTGGTCGTGGTGGACCAGATTCCGGCTCTACCACAACAACAAGAAATTGAGGTGAGTCGTATTACAAGTAACTTTGGTTTATATTAGCAATTGTTTCGCTTATTTTTAATTATTACGTAAATATTAATGTTATATATTTTTGGTAGTGTGTAATGCAAGAGCAGGATGATGATGATGATCAAGAAACTAAAACAACTTTCCGGGATCAAAATACGTATCTCCGAAAGGAGGAAGCATTTGGTTCAGTGTCTGCCATTTTTGACACAGCGCCGCAGCAGCAAAGTCAGGATCATTTTGAAATTGTGGAACCTGATCAAGAACAAGGAGAAGAAGAAGCTTTATTGCTTAATCTTAGTCGAGCGATGAAGAAATCATATCCTGAGACTACCAGAGTCACAGAAAAAGACTCGATTTACACCTTGGATGACTGCGAAGATTCTTCCAACCCAAAATCTTCTGGAGCCGAGCCTACCCCAGCCGAAAATAATAACCGCTTGGATATCGCCGAACAACCTTCAAGTCTCATCGACAATGACGATACCACTACTCCTGAGGTCATAATTCCAAGTAGCGTTACCCTGTCTCAAAAGGAGTCTACTGCCAGTGCTACTTCTGCACGAACAATCTCTCTCTGTCATCCGGAACAATTGAAGGAATTGTCTCCTCAGTCTAACATCGTCACTCTGTCAGAGGAGAGGCAAGAAGAACAGTTCCTCGTATCAGAATCCGAGAGCGAATTTGGTGGATGTTGCGCCGCGTTGCGTCGAGGAAGGTCAAGACCTTGGAATAAAAAGGATACGATCAACACGGGTGATGGATCATCATCTTCAACTCGACCTGGCTCCGGTGGGAAACGAACCTCATTCAAAGAACGGTCCGCCTCATTGAAAATGCGACTATCCAAAGTCTTCTTCAAAGGGAACCCTCCTACCAAGGAGTAATCATGGACCACTGCTTCAGCGAAAAATTAGTTCTTTTGCTCGTTTATTAGCAGCTTCTTAGAGGATGTAGAAATAGTTATAAAAAATATATACAAAATTGTAGTGAATCAACACAGCCAGTAGTGAGTCAGATAAACACACAAACCTGTTTCATTTTAGTGCTCGACAAAATTTTATAATACAAAAAATTACAACTGTAAAAATATTCGTAAAATTTCAGACTTTGTCCCCTTTGCATCCTGGTACAAAATCACATCTTCATATCGAGTAGACTCATTTGTACGCATTAATTTTTGGCATGATGCTGTTCCAACGTTACACCTCGAAGCAAGTTCTGTTCGTGTTGCATGATGCGCTTCTTGTAGCACGAAATCGCAATTATACAACAGTTAATTAACATAAGATATCAGAAATTTGGAAAAGTATCGAACCAGCCAAAAACCTTGCTTTGATTGAGTGGGCGAAGAGACGAAGTTGCAGTTGGCATGTAGATTATTACAAACATTACCACAGTAGTGATGGGTTCCCACACGTTTCACTCTCTGATTGACAAGAGTTACATGAATTTATGTCAACTTCTAATTTATTCATACTACAAATACAAAACCCAGCCTTATATTTGTATTTTAATAATTTTATGTTATTTTCACATAAGTAATTGGCCATGTGCCCCTTCCCATGAAGAATGGATATTTTCCCACCCCCAACAATGCTGATATAATTAATTGAATTATTTGTAACAATTGTAAACACGGAACATGTGAGATGTTCCTATACGCATGTTGGCCATACCCCACCCCCTCGTTTTGAAAACCCCCACTGACCTTTTTGAAACTTTTAATGCACAAAATGCAAGGTCATACTGCCCTAGAGAGTCGGGTCCACCCGTGGTTTGTCCCACAGCCCCGACTCTCTTCCCGTTGGAGGGGTGGTCCGGGGGAGCAACGCTGCAAGGGGAGAGCCTTACGGGAAGGTCCCCCCTCCAATGCTCCTCCCACCAAGCAGGCTCACCGGGTGGGGAGCCGGCGGGGCTTGCCAAAAGTGCGGGTGGCGCTTGGCAAGTGAGAGGGGCTCTCTACCTCCAACCCTTGGGTGACGCCGCTCTTTAGCGATACCTCCCCTTGGGGCCGACCGGGTTCCCGAGTTCGAAGTCTTAATGGGGGCCGATTTACGGGTGCGCTCCCACCTCGTAAGGCGAGGGTCAGACGGGCCCCCTAGGGGAACGCGGTTGCAGAGGCGGTGACGTGGGCAGGGCTTTCCAGGTCGGTGGAGGTAGATCCCCGCGGACGCATTCGGGCGTCCGCGGGGGCCGACCCGCGTGGAGCACGAGGGAGCGACGTCCTCGTCGTGTGCTCTGGAAACGCCCTTCTTAGGGCGGCCAACAGCTCCCCCCCTTATAAATGCATGGCATGGCGACAACCTTTGTCGCCATGCAATAATTTCGCAATTTCTCGGCCGATTTGCATGAAATTTAGCAGAATGCTTCTTATTGGTGTTGTTGACATGTCGCAAGGTCCCACCCACCGCCACCCCCTTGTTTTCGACAGATTTCGTCGCCATGCAATAATTTCGCCATTTCTCGGCCGATTTGCATGAAATTTGGCACAATGCTTCTTATTGGTGTTGTTGACATGTCGCAATGTCCCACCCACCGCCCATCCCTTGTTTTCCTTGGCGATTTCGTCGCCATGCAATAATTTCGCCATTTCTCGGCCGATTTGCATGAAATTAAGCACAACGCTTCTAATTGGTGTTGTCGACATGTCGCAAGGTCCCACCCGCCGCCAACCCCTTGTTTTCACCAAATTTCGTCGCCATGCCATAATTTCGCCATTTCTCGGCCGATTTCCATCAAACTTCGACAGAGACTTTTTTTTGGTGTTATCGACATGTCGCATGGTCACACTCATCGCCACCACCCTGTTTTCGCCAAATTACGTCGCCATGCCATAACTTCGCCATTTCTCGTCCGATTTTCATCAAACTTCGACAGACACTTCTTATTGGTGTTGTCGACATGTCGCAAGGTCACACCCGCCGCCACCACCTTGTTTTCGACAAATTTCGTCGCCATGTCATAACTTAAGAAAAAATAATTCGAGGGAACGAAATGTGAGTGTTGACAATTTTTGTGCGGTTTGTTTCTGGGTTACAGTTTGTGCGACGCACACTGGTGGCAAAAGTACCAGGGTTTTTAAAATTAAAGTTTTTTAGTCGTCGGAGCAATTGTCGCAACCTTGTAATTATTACTAAAGTTGTCAAGCAACCTTGGACGCTTCCTAGTACACCAACCACGATTGCTTGACATTTAGTATCTAGGTAACGTTAATCTCCCGGACGGACATGACCACGATTGCTTGACATTAAGTATCTAGGTAACGCTTCTCCCTTAACGGTTGCGACAAATGGTCGAGTTAGAAATAAAATAATTATTTTTAAAAATCCTTGGTTCTTCTCCCATGGGCGTGAGAACCAACTCTATGACCTTTAATAACTTTTGCATAGGCAGACATAGAGATTCAATTCTTGAGGATGAAATCGTCGTAATTTTTTGATTGATTTTTTAAGCTAAAAATCTCGAGGGTACTATGTCTAATAGTAAACTTGAAATTTCCAATGTGCAGCCTTTATTTAGCCCGAGTCAGGCGTTGCGGTTGTCGGTTAAAACGACCATTGACTAGTGGAGTGGCATATTTTTGAAAAATCTGTATGGATTAGTCCCTACGGTTTCACCTGTTGTCAAAATTTCAACTTCCTACGACAAATTTGGGACTTTTCTATGACATTTAATATTTTTTCAGTCAACCCCTAACCACTTAAAAGACCCCCACCGACCTGACCGATCATGCCCGTCTTTGAACTCATCCTTACTTTTGACCCGAAGATGAACTTCGCAAAATTTCAGGTCGCCAGCTTGTGTTTAAAGAGAGTTATCGTGCGCACAGACATCTTGACAAATCTATAAGCCCATCCGAAAAGGCCTAAAAATTAGATTTCCCATTGTATATAACCCATGACATATTTTCAACAAGTCTTATTTTTTTAAATCTACAGTGCAGAGTCCATTTAGCCCTAGTCAGGGATTCTGTCCCTGACTCGGTGAATCCGAGCTCACTCCTATTTTTTTCGAATTCACCGACATGATAATATTACCAACCTCCGTGGTGTGGATGACTCGTGGATGACTAAATGTTTGCTAGATATTTTCTACTATTTGGCATTTTAACTTCATATTCTTTAATGAGAAGTCATAAGTATCACCGTGCCGGATTTAATGTTTTTCAAGCAATTTCTAATCGGTATGGGTCACCCCATAGCGTCCCTCAAGATGAAAAATTTTCCAACTTAAATTCATTTTTTTCTATTAGAAGTCATTAGCTACCTCTATACTAAATTGCAGCTTTCTACGACAATTTTGAATTTCGAAATTTTTACTCACATGACCCCCACCGGTCAACCACTTGACCGATTTCGCCCATCTTCGAACTCGTTTCCTAACTTGTCCAATATGTACACACATGGTAAAAATTTCAAGTCAATCGGTCAGCTCGTTAGAGAGTTATCGAAAAACAGACGGACAGACATGACGTTTCCATAAGCCCTGCCTCGGGCTAATAAAAATGAAAATTTATTTTGTAACTCGGCCATTTGTCGTAACCCTATAGACTGATAAAGTGTCAAATAATCTTGTACACCAACTGTTATAATTTCTTCAACTTCTACCACTCTGACCCAAAATTCCTTGAAAATGCGTTACCACCACCCCGTCTTCCAACCCTTGCACTTTGACTATGGGACGACAACCTGGTCAGTTAATCACATGCCTCTTTTTGGGTCAATTCTCTCCGTCTTGGACCACCGGCGGCTCAACGTGATTCACAACATTACCTTCTTCGCCTTAATGAAAGTTCTGACGAATGGGAGGATCACAGCGAAACAGTCACAAGCCGTATTTAATTTGCTCGATTTAAGTAAGAATAGCAACTTCTGGTCAAACTTAAATATTATTTTTAAGACGCTGATTTATAATTTTGTACCGTGTATTAAGCCCACACTGGTGACCTCAACTATTCCGAGTTGGCATTCTTAGTCGCAATCATCGTTGCGCACAAGGATCACATGGAGAGAGAATTTTTATACATGAACGCCTGGAAAATGCAAGTCACAAATTTAAAATCTATTTGCATTTCTAAATTTATTTTTTCTTAACATTTTAGTTGGGTCACATTCAACGAGACGGGCAAAGATCACATCACGACGCGTGAATTTAGGCGAACCGGACTCTTCTTTGACTTCAACTATCCCACAATGTACGAAATGTTTCGTGACTACAATTGGGATGATGAGAAAGAAATGGAATTTGAACGATTTAGGGTAAAATTTCAGTACAAATACTTCAAAAACATTTTATGAATTTTGCGACTCATGCTAATTACGTCTGTTCATTCAGTTCTATCTCATGTCCTGCATCCACTTTCGTCAAGTTCACCGCTTTCAGGCCAAATACATCCGATACCGACAATTTAAACGGGCTGTGCTCCTCCTTCTGAAAAAAATGTTGAGAAAAGTTCTTCTCGAAAATGTCTATCCATCCCCAATGTCAATTCTAAGGGCGATTAAAACCATTAAAATCCCACCTCTGGAAGGAACCGAGAGAACGAAGCACTGGACGGACTTGTTCGAGTTTAATTTCATACGAAGATTTGTCAAGCTTGGATGGGAAAGATTAAAATATTTGTGGGATTCCAAGACTAAAGACTATCCAAGGCTTAAATGTTTCTGTAAATGTATTTGCTGCGGATTGTGGTAAGGTTTTGCATGTATCAACTGATAACATACTTTGGTAAACACTGACTAGCTTGTTCTCTTTGGGTTGACTCAGTTGCTGCCGTATCGACGACTCCGAGGAGCCAGGCTGTTGCGGAGATTGTGACCATTACTGTGCCAAGAAATGCTGCTTTCTGTGCAAATTCTGCAAGCGGCGAAAGGTTTACAAATTGGCGAAAAAATCAAAGAAAACAAATCAGCGATGGGGTGGCAATTTGAACGAAATCAAGGGAGAAGATGCCATCGGACTTAAGCCCGCACCAAAGAAAGTGGTCGACCAGAAGGAGCTACCACTCCTGGACAAAAGTACGGATAATCTCGCCGAAACGCCAAGCGTCAATCCACAAAACATGAAAGAGATTAGGAACCAGAGACGAATCAAGGTAAAAATGCTGTTGACACGGGAGGATATCGTCCCAGCGGTCGAGTGGAGACCGCTGGGAAAGCCAAGGTGCGGAATTCTGTGAAATTTACTATGATAAGATTTATTTATTGTGTTCCATTCAATTTTCTATGTACGACTAATAAGTATACATATTTAAAAAACAACAACCATGATTTGTAAGATTAGTTATTAGTACTTGTAGAAAAGATTTTTAACAAATCATAAATTCTACATATATGTATTATTTACTTGTACATTAAACTTCCTTCATCTACCAATATTGTACTCAGGGAATTAAATTTAAGAAGAGGAATAGGAAGAGATTTACGTGTTTAATAAGGCACAATTATATTTAAAATAAAGCAAGGAGTGGGAAGGAGACGTACTATTTTGTAGTATGTAACACAAATTAAGGGCCAGGAGTCGATGTTTGACCTGTATTCTCAGACTTGCGACACTCACCTCAAAATTTCCTCCGGTCCTGAAGAACGCAGGTTCGAAACGTCGACTCCTGGCCCTTAATTTGTGTTACATACTACAAAATAGTGAGTCTCCTTCCCAATCCTTACTTTATTATACCCTTACTCGCACAATTTACCATAAGGCACAATTATATAGTCATTAAGATTATAGATATCCAGTCCATGAATAACATGTAAGTCAATAAATATGTAAGAAAAAGCACGTGAACTTTACCCATCGTCATACTTTACAAGATTAATTTCAATTTTGACAAGAAAACTCGACAGGAAGTTACAATGTCAATGTCAATCCTTGGCATAAATTTTTTGAAAACGATTCAGTCCCACAAACTGCAGAATTTCTACATAAAATCTACTTATCTTGTAGCTTATTCCTAGTAACTGATCGTATATGGATTAGCTGACGTATTTTGCATTATTGCACTCAACACTTTTCCATGATCCTTAAAATTATTGCATAGTGTACAAAAAGTGATGTTTTGCTTGTGTATGTATGGCATCTAAACGTAAATATAAATTATTACCAATATTTATATAACTAGGAATAATATATGACGTGATATACTTCTAACATATGTATATTAAAAGTTATAAAAAGAGATGAATACGATGCAATTTTATGGATAAAGTTATTAATAAATTATTTCGTATTATGTACATACATTAAAGCTCTTATTTCCTTTAAATCAGTCCTGATGGATAAACTGGCTTATCTTGAGATTATTTAATAGTGAAATTATTTAAAATTCCAGACGCAAATGTGCAATCAATTTAGTTTTCCGATTCCGCATCGCAATTGGATCCATTCATTGGGATTTTCCCATTTCCTGATTCTGTTGCAGTCTAATAAAACATGACATAACCAAAACTTTAGATTTTTACGGGGCAAAATTCATACAAAATTAGGATAAGTACTCACCCTAAAAAATCCTCTATGACTTCTTCTATGATAAAACATGCGTTCAATCATCGCAATAAAAATCGCGAAAATGATCCCAATCACCAAAACAGACAGGGGTCCAATAAAGTGGACCAGTTTAACTTGTGTCTGATTTCCACCGTCACTGACACCACCGTCCCTGCTGCAGTAGCGTTTCGGCCACCATTTGTCCTCAAGTTGACGTAAAACTCCGCTCTCTCCGAGCGAGAGGATTCCTTGCGACAATTTTTCCCGAAGGGGCGAACCTGTCCGATTCAAGACGATTCAAATTAAAAATCGACAAGATAACCTCCAAGAAAACAAATTAAATAACGTACCTTTCCCCACCGCCATGGCGAACGACCTGTCATCAATCCCTTTAATCACCCCGAGACCGCAATCCTCCACCAACGCCTGATTCAGATTGATCTCCTCCGTCACAAAAGCATATTTTGCCCCACCTCCAAATCCTCCTGATCGCTTCACTTCCTGTATTCCGTCAAACGCTGTTGCCACCAGGGATCTGGCCTCGCTCCCCTTTTGCACCCTCCACCAAATCTTTTGCAGGTCTTCTCTTTTCGCATTTTGCAGAAACTGGTTCGTGGATCCGGACTGGATGACGCCAAACTCGAAGAGTGGATCGGCCAAGAGGTCAGACACACTTTGAGGCGAGGATGAGGGCGAAGAACGAGCATCGAACCAGTGGGAAACGAGGGAGGCATAGATGATGATGACGACAAGGGAGAATAGCCACCAAACCACGGCGATTGTGCGGGACGAAGCGGCCTAAATAGGGTCGCAAATGTTTGTAATCATTCATATTTTACGAATTATGTACTTGAAGTTACTTGAAGTCGGATGTCGCACCCTCTCAGCACGAGGGTGGAGGAGAGAACCCACATTGAATTGATCCAAGAGAGGTCATGACCCAGCGAAGGAGATCCGTCCGAGCCGGGAAGAATTATGTCGTCTTTTTGATATGGCGACATCCACGCGACCAGTCGAAGGCAGATGGACGTGATGAAGAAGGCGAGCACGATGCTTACCCAGACCCAGATACTGAATGGGCTCAGGAGGGTGGAAACGCCGTCCAAAGTGTCCTGCTTCACCTGGAAAAAAGTAATTAAAATAGCAACATATTCATAAAAATCACCTGTCCACTAATGTTTCATTTAATTAAATATTTCTCATGCATGACTTGACTTCATACAGTGAAAAGTTGGAAACCCACACACAAACGGTAAAAAATGATCACGCGGAAATAATATCACTGATATTCAGTGTCAGGGTCGAACATTGATAATGACCCGAATACATAGACCGCAATGATTGCATACCTTACATACATATTTACTGAGCAACTGGACATTTGCCAATTTTTTTTTGCGAAACCAAAAGTAATGGTGATTTTAAAATCAGATACCGAAACCCAACTCATTTTTTAAGTGGTTCTTTTCCACCCACACGACACCCGTATTTCACTCTATTAAGAGTAAACACCTCATTTTTATGATACTTTTGCTGATCTGAGTCATCTTTTCTTTCGTTGTGGCACAAATCGAGGTATTTTTGGAAATGGTTCATCCTACAGGAATAACTTTGTTGAGATGTGCCGATGCTGATGATACCGCTTTTGAAGGTGAGATAACTGCCAGCCACCATCATCGACATGATAAAAGTCGTTGAACGGACAGCACGTCGACACATTTTAGCACTGATCGAGCTACAGTGATCATCTTCAACAGCAACTGCATATTTACTTGCCACCATGTCCAAGTCACCGTGGAAGGTTAATACTTTACAGAAATATCCTAAATATTGCGTGCATGTTATCGCCATAAATTTGCATTCCTACTAATTTCTCCATTTTGTTCAGATTTCAGGAATTCGCGACCCCGACGAAGAAGCCGAAGCTGCCGCTTGGGTCCAACAAGTTGTCGGGGAGCAATTTCCACCCGTCCCGTACGAGGACATTTTACGAAATGGAATCGTCCTCTGCAAACTGATCAACCGACTTCAACCCGGAATCATTAAGAAGGTCAACACTTCCGGGGGCGATTACAAATTTATCGACAATATTCAGCAGTAAGGTCACATTTAGTATTTCATTTCCATGATGCACATTTTGGAAATATTTTCATAAATATTATAGATTTCTGAAAGCTGCTGCCGACTACGGCGTCCCAGTCGGTGACTTATTTGAAGCTCCGGACCTCTACGAACGTAAAAATATTCCAGTCGTGACGAAAGCCATTTTTTCCCTGGGGCGCACGGTACGCATAATTTGTAATATTTTGCAAATTTGAAAGTTAACTTCACCACTGTTTCTCTGCCTCAGACTTACAAACATCCCGAATGGCAAGGGCCCTGGCTTGGGCCTAAACCCGCAGATGAGAATCTGCGCCACTTTTCAGAAGATGTGCTCCGTGCTGGGCAATCAATCATCGGACTGCAAGCCGGTCAGAACAAGGGAGCTTCGCAAGCCGGATCGAATCTTGGTGCACAGAGAAGAATCTTGTTGGGGAAGTGAAACGCTTACTTTAATTTTACTAATGAAAATGTTCCTACTTATAATTTTGCGAAATAGTTTGCAAATTATTTACAACTGTGCCAAAAGTGTGTTATATGTGTCATGTTATCGTAATTAATATGTGTGAAGAAATATGTAAATCTTATTGCTATTATTTTTGAGATGATAAAAATAAAACGAAAATCAAATAACAAACCTTGTATAAAGCTGCTAATGAAGTGTGCATGAAGGGCGTTGTAAAGTCAACTACGGATTGTCGAGCTGAGGTCACGGTGAGGTCGGCTAGTGCGATGTCAGCCTCCTGATAACATAAAATAAAGCGAAATATCAGTAACTTCCGGTTTGCAAACTTACAGTGACTATAGGGCACTCACCCCTCTCACAATCTCGCCCACCATCCCGTCCCACTGGCCATTTAGCGGACCTGGGCGTCCATACCGTCCATCCGACACAAGTTTAAATTTAAAATGAAATCCGACCAATTTTGCTAAGTGGTGAGCCAAATCGACACAGAAGCCTTCGTCTTGTCCCGTCTCGCCACGAGTGAAGCAGGATCCAGAACTCTGAAAATGACATTGCAGACATATTTTAGTGTGAAATTCAGGAAAAATCGTGAAAAATCAAATCTCACATCAGTCGTTGTGATGATGAGCGTCTTGTTAATTGCTGGCTTTTCATTCGTCAAGTGAATCTTGTCCCCCATTCGGAGTCCGTCCATTTCATAGCTGAGCAAAAGTTTTATAATTATTTTATAAACTATTTATTTGTGAAATTTTCATAAAATAAAACTATTGAAACCTAATTCCTTCCGACCAGTTTCCTACGGGGAGGAAGTTTGGCGAAAAATTGATTCCTGCCTCGTCCAAGACAAATCCCAACTTGAGAATGTTGACGTGAACTCGTGACCTCGCCCCGTTCGCGAAGCTGATCGGGCCGCTCATGCCGTCGAAGGAGACCTGATGCAAAATTTAATTGTTCTTATACACGTATTTTGTCCTGTTTAATTAACATATTTCGAAAATCGTACAGTTGACAAGACATCTCTCAGCTCTTCTCCAACGTCCCACTTTCTGTTTTCTGTGCAAGATGTGGAGGACGGCGTGGACAAGTCTGTCCCAGAGTTGTCAAACTCTTCCAGACCTATGAAATCCAAAATGTGTTCATAATTTTGTTTGATTTTTGCAAATGTTGGATAAAATGGAAATAAAAATACTGAAATTTTACCTCGAGCCAAGAGTTCCACCGCGTCCAGCTGAGATAACCAGTAAATATTTAATTTATTAATTACACAATTCGTGGACGTTGTTCAAGGACTAAAATCAGTATGTATTACAATATGTAAGAAAAAAATCTGATCTGTATTACCGATAAGGCAACCTTTGTGGTTTGTGGGAGAGATTTGTTCATCCCCTGTGGAGGAAGAGATGGTCAAAACATCAGTTTCTTAAGCCAGATTAGACCACAAAACCGGAAATAACAAAGATTTTTGGTAAGGGTAGACAAAAAAACATGAGTGAAAGTGTAACATTACATAGATTCAGGGTGTGTGTACTACTTAAGCCGGAAGTCTCAAAAAACATATCGGTCAAAAAAGATATTTATTAACTTCTAAAAATTCTGAAAAGTTTGGACAGTTGATTTCCGACCCTAAATGGTACAAAAGTAGGGGGTCGATTTCTCTGAACTATATTTTTTGTATGTAAGTATCCATACATATAATCGGAGTCACTACATACATATTATGTACTTCTACGAACTGTTTATTATTCCAATCCATTCTTTAAATCCTTAGAAATCTGAACTTTTAACATCATTACGGTAAGTATTTCTTTCTCTTAAGCCGTTGTCTTGCTGCCTTGTCGGCTGTCGTCTTTTGCTTTTACTTTTCAACTTCCTATGCATGCATGAAGAATCAAAATCAGGAGTGACTGAGCCGAGCTCCTGACAACACTGAATAAAAAGTGTCATTCAAAATGTATCCTATTTCCGTCTGCTGACTTTAATACATAAATAAATGCCGTATGAAACCCGTGGGTGGGTGTGGACTGGATTTGAAACTGGTTTGAAACCGGATTAAAGTTCCGAAAGTGAAACCAAGCCATGCATCAGACAAGATTAACCTTCTAAGTAAGTACTTCACCGAATCATTCTCAAATTACCGAAACTGATGGACCAAATCTATCCTGGAAGTCTTGAAATTTTGCATGGTCGATCATATTCAGTCCCAAGATTAGAGCTTCAGAGTACGCCAACCGTGACCAGTTGCCGGCTTTCATGTCCTGTCAGAAATAATTTCCATACATCAATTAAGTATATGTAAATCCTCTAAGAAATGTGTATTTTTATACCCACCAACATGGTAAACAGGTAATTGTAACTCTTCGTCATCATCCCGGTGTCCAACGCGGCCTGGATGACGCGCTCCAATTGCGTCACACCCGTGTCGATGATAATGTTTCGAGCCCCTTTCAACCTTAGCTGGACCAGAGTTGCGCGCAAGTCGGTCGACACTTGATGGACACTCACTGATCCGAGAATTTGCAGAGATTCGGCCAGCACGGAGGGGTCAATTATTCCTAAAATGGCATAAGAAGTGCTTATCTAGATTTGATTATCAATCATGTTCGTGACTTGTCTAACCATGGACTGGATCGTGAATAATGGACACGTCCTTCCAGTGAAGTTCCTTCCCTAAATCCTTCACCAAACTGATGAGATGTGTCTGTGTTGGGAAAAGTGCCAACGTCAATTCCGCCCTGGCGACTAAATTTTCCGCGGAAAATGCCGAAGGGAAGCCTCCCCCTCGTCCGGGTGAGATTGAGAGGGTTCGTGGGGCCGTGGATATGAGGGGAATTCCCAACGCGGTGCTGATCGACTCGAGCTGTTTGTCCAGGCCGGGGTCACTCGGACCGAAAAAGGTCACGATGCCGTATCCAACTTCGAGACATGCTGCACACGGAAAAAATGTTCATATTGTCGATCGTCATTTTAAATTATTTATTACTTAAAAAAATAATCTACCCCTGGTGTAAAGATGAAAATAGTCGTGCCGATTTGCATATTGTATGTCAAACTGGATCTCCGTTTGGTTCAAGAGTTGCCTATTTCGTAGCGTTTCGATTCCCACACGGAAGGATTCATGAACTTCTTGCTCTCTTTCGAGGAAGACGGACCCTAAAAGAAAATCATTTCATGTGTTAAAGCAACAATAGAATCATCCATCAATTACTGGATGTAAAGTGACAACAAAAAATGATGCGTATCCCCAACCGACAAATACAGTGGGGGTTGTGTTGTATCGATCATAGCGTCATTTTTTTGTATTTAAGCCCGAGTCGAGGCTTATGGAATCGTGATGTCTGTCCGTCCAAGACATGGTTGGCTGAACCGATTGAGTTAAAATTGTATACACATGTATGTAATGCGTACAAAGACCTGAAAGCGGACTCTATCCCTGACTCGGGCTAAATGAAGTCAGTACTGTAAAATGTATTTGTATATTGATCAACTCAGATGGACTTTGATGTATCGACATCTTATTTAAATCTTGGTTCTGGAGGAGCTACCGTTTTTTTTACTTGAGATGATGATCTTTTGAAGTTTTATCTGTTGTACACTTATGTAAGCCTCGAAAGAAGATGATGCGGTGAAGTGGATCGAGTGAGACGAGATGATGATGAGAAATATTTAATTAGAGGCACGAAGAAAAGGTTCATCCGACATCATATACTCCCAAAATCGAGGACGGTGAGTGCGATTGATGAAGGAATGAATTAAGGCATCAAACAGTAAAGATGAGACTTTTTTCTCGTAGTTATTTCTACATACAAGACGATTGCATGTGATTATTTATTTCATATAAAAAATTAAGAAGTGAGTAAAGAAAGAGTGGAAAAGATGAGACTGAATTCTAATCAGGTTTTTATGTGTACTACACGAGAGGACCCTGGAGAATAATTGTGGGCAGAGTGGAAAATTGTCATTTTTTCAAAGGACTATGAATATGTATGTATTTATGGGAATGCACTACTAATTTCTGATATGTACAATTTTATATAGGAAACGGGTATTAAATCATTACTTGCCGGAGTATCTACATCTACATATATGACTCCGCATGCATTCGAGCATTACCGCTTAGTAATGTTTTGGTACTAAAAATTTCTCACTCAAAAGCAAACTATTACCAATCCGGTAGAAAATTACTACTAAATCAATGCCAGTGTGGAGTATATATGTGACTCTATAGGATTTTTTACAATGTAACTGTAAATTTCTACCTATGCATGTAGAAAAGTGTAATCTTCGAAGTGCCCTGGACAATAAAATTTTGAATTGAAAATTCCCTTCAGGACTTTTCCATCATATTTTCCATACCTGACTGAGGTCGATTGTAATCTCACCTACAGACACGATATTGATATCACACAAGATGCATTGGCATTCATCTCCCGTTGTCCAGTCCAGTTTAGTTGGAATTAATGGAATTCTTGAAGGGATGAGGTATCCCCAAAAGTACCGCAAGGAAAAAGGGTTCTTGATGATTTCCAATCTCATTGTTGTATCGCAAGATGCTCTCGTGCTCATATCGTATCTGTAGAAAATATAAGTAACCTGGCCTCGTATGTAGGTAAATCGTATGGTAATCTCTTTCTAAAAATCCCATTTATTATATTCCTTCCACCATACAACAATGGATCATGTCTGCCTGTAAAAAGTGGAGGGGTGGACCGTTACTTTATAATAAACTGCTTCAAGTCTACTCAAAGATCAGACCACGAATACATAATTATTTAGTCACACCATCATCAGAAGAACAGGTATCATTCCTACCGGAGAAAGAATTTAAAGGAGGCAGATTGAGACTAAATCGCTCCTTGAAGATCTGCATTTCGTGCTCATCCTTCGTGAGCAAGCGGAACCTTTTCATGTGATGTTTCCTAAGGAAGAAATGTGTGAAAGATTTGAAAAAGTGAGTGTAATAATAATAATAATAAGACACAAGGTCTCATCCCCGTTTACGATCACCACTAACCAACTAACCAAGTGCATGAACATGCATTTCGAGTCGGATGGGAACCACATTGTTGGAAATTCTAACCAAAAACTTCTCCTTTGACCGGGTGTGCATTATTATCGTCGCTTTCTCACTTTTACTTTGTTCCCTTTCACACTATAGACATCATTTTAAATATCTTCCAAAAACGCCTCCATCCATATGCAAGTAGTATTCAGGAGTGATACTTTTCCGAGATTATTATGAGGAGCTTGATGCCTACTTCTGTTCCTCATTTGCCGACGAGGACGACGACGAGTTGTCTTGAAACAATAATAATTATGCAGTTCGTTACTTACTTCTCCAGAGTTGAGAAGTGGGATTTCAGAGATATTAGTCCAACTGACGGAGGATATTATTAACTAAAAATTGAGGCATATGATTATGACGTGATGCCAAATAATCAAGTGCATACAGTTGCGATTAGATTGTTATTTTCGAAATTTTTAATGAGCTTCCATATCCTTTTTTTATAAGGAGGAGTTGACTGGAGGCGAAATATCTTCTCCTTAATACTTCCATCCAGTAGTCTTCTTCTGCCCATGAATGGATATGCATGCGTACTCTTTATTATTTATTTCTGCCTATTTTTGGCAAGGTATGCACACACCGATTAAAATGATAAATCGACCTCATAAAAAGACGAACATTATTGTTTAAAAGTTTTCTGATTCTGGAACAAATTGCAGGATTGACTTTGACTCTGGATTTTTTTCGGGTGGAAAAAGATATCTGTACCTCTCTCAGATTTGCTTCTTCTTTTTTTTACAGATATTTGGATGTTGGGAAATCAAATAGAGTTCCCTTTGTGCTCGTTGTGTGTGTATAAAGTGCCATGTGTGGGAAGGGCAGATTTGTCAGTGTCAATTAGATGGGTCAGAGGAAACTGCGGGGGATGATGGACAAACATTCCTTTGTCTCACTCACTTCACTTTAGCCTTTTAACCGACGACGACGAGATTAAGAACAGAAGCTGCAGATGAAGCACTCTTTCTTTCTTTTTAAGGGGTTGGTTTCGTAGTTTAGTTTCAAAAAGTGCATCGTAAAAATAGGAGCCCTTGTTCCTTGAAAAATTTTTTAAATTTCTTTCAAGCGGAAGTGAAACATAAAATAATATCGTCCAAATTTCCATCTCGGATTGAATCGCTTAATTTAATTTCCCCGATTTCTATCCACATTTACAAATAAATTTCATCATTTCATTTCATTTTACCACGAGTATGAAGTTGATCCCTAAAAATAACACGTCTTTCAACTCGCATGTTGTGAGGGTCTTTTATAAACCTGAAAGTCAAGGATTATATATAACTCACTCTTCAGGTTCAGCCCTGTCGACGAGTTTGGAGTTGTTCTCGAGGAGAAAAAGTTCTTCTGGAGGAAGGATTTTACAGTTTTGTAAAAAATTAAATATTTAAGTCCGTATATGCAATTTCGTTCCACTTGTCCATTTCTATTTCTGTGTATGCATTATATTATTGGAATTGGAAATCTTGTTTCTTGGGAACTTTCGCGATCATCGCATCACTGCATTACTTTCCATTTTTCACTTTACTTCTTGACAAAGAAGGAAGGAAGTGAACATGTACGCATGTAGTTCGATATCTTATGAGAAGCCCATCATGTTGAACGACACCCACCCCACCGGGTCGGTGATGTGCATTTAAGTCAAGTCAAAAAGACCAACGACTGCAACTGTCATCCCATAAATTACGAGAAGCTCGTACTCTCTGCGTAGCGCATCTCTCGGGCCGTCGGATTTTTTATTCGTCTGACTTTGGAGAGAAACTATTATTATGCGTGCACTATGATGCAGATGCACTTTTATATCCGATCCGAATTAGTAAATATGTATGTATGTACCAATACCAGCTCGGGGAAGGAAGGAGCGTGCTAAAGGTCTAGAAAGGTCGGGTTTGTATTTACACAGTATGATTATATACAGCCAAGCAACTTTCCCCATGAAACTAGAACCAATTACAGCATTTTAAGCCTCCACCACTTTTTCAGTTAAGCCGGAAAATTGATGACGGATAAGATGACTGTCTGGAGGGTTTGAAAACCTCACCCAAAAATTGCCCAAACCGAACTAATGAGAGACGGATGCATCCGTTGAATGAAATTAACCTCGGAAATCGGCTCTACGACGAAATGTGGTGAAACAAAATGTAAAATAAGTACCCACTACGTTCAGTAATTAACAATTGGTAGCAGCTTTTACACACTCATGTCTGCCTCTCATTAGGAAAATAAGCTCTTGTGTATGTATGAACTTTCCACACACATAGATTGTCACCGTCGTGCTGATTGTTCTGGTGGCCCTTGAGGCAGATGGATGCAGTTAAAGTGGAAATACGAGGCTGTGCTGGTGCTGAATGAGTGATGATTTCGAGAGAGGATTAATGATTTGGTTGAAGAGGATGCAAGTAAAAATTGGAAGTGGGCGACTTTACTACAATTTCTTGTGCTGATGAAAAACAAAGGGTCCTTTAACAGGAAAAGGCTCAAACAAACCAAAGGAAACCAGGGCAGGCCTGGATGATAAAAAGATCTCATCTCAACTTCCACTGGTGGACGACTACCCTTTAAAAACAACCAAATCCTGTTGATCTTCCTGCCTTTTGGACTTTTGAAGAGTGGACTTTTGAAGTGGATTCGAGTGTGTTGTTGTTAAAACACTTAAAGTTAAATGACTACTACTTGTCGTAACTGCCTTCCTCCAGGCATCACGGGTTTGGTGGTGGGTTGTTGGAGATAATTGATTTTGAAGTTGGATTGGATTGGAATTTTCTGGCTGGATTAATGCTGCCTGTACCCTTAAGGGTTTCTTTACCACCACAAGTATGCATTTATACGTACACCTACTAATTTTGGTGATGAGGTGCTAAATAATAATACAAATGGAGCAATTATGTTCATCTCCCCCCGTCTCGCCCGTGTTTTCACTTTGTTATCACTTCCAAGGTTTTAAATAGCTTTGTTCTCTCTTTTTCAAATATTTCCTTAAAAGGTTTCCTTTTCTAAACTGCATTCATTCTCAGAGACGACATTCTGCTGCTCGTACATATTCATCCATCATCGCTTATCATCATCATTAGCAGCAGCAACTCACCCCTTTCTTTCCTCACCTAAAATATCAGCCTTTCAATAAGTACCAAAGTCCACACAGCTATTTAAAACATAGAAAATCCTCTCTAACTAATTTATGAAAAAGGTAAAGATCCCAAAGCCGCAGCCAGTCACAAAGTTAACGATTATGATACTGCATTTCGACAACTTTTCTCCATTTGTTCGTTAGCAAAGAATCTCACAGGACTTTACATAGTTCAAGTTAACAATGTGTGGGTTTAAATAGTTTGCTTAAAAAATTCTTTTCTAAACCCCCGATAAATTCCTATTTTAATTTAATTTCACGTCGTATTATTCCTTCCATATCCGGAAATAAGAAGGGGAATAAAGAAGAGTGACAAAGTAGGCGACCAAATTCAGATAAACTGCTCTGAAAATGTCAAATCTTCCACATCTCTCACAATGCCAAGTGATGGATGAATGGAGACAAGTCAACCGTATGCCCACCAAACCAACCCACACAAAAAAATGACATTGACATACACTTGACATTGTAGAGGATGAGAGTTTGACTGGTGACAAAAGTTGTCCATATGTCACTCAGTGTTTCGAATTTAGAGAAAGAATGAGGAAGTCGGGCCCATCATCTCAACTTTTTAACCAGTTGCTGCATGTACGTATGAACCTAATTCTACTTGATAAGATGCGAGCAGAGTGAATAATAAAGTGGCAAAAAAGTAGTCTGCCATGTTTTCTTTAGAGTTTTCCGTTTGTTTTTGTTTTCATTAAGTTATCATCAACCATCCAGTCGGTCGATAAGGCTTGCACTTGTCATGCAGGAAAATTCATAATGTCACAATTTTCATTTCACACATCACCACACGACTCGTTTCATATCATGGTTTGGTTTGGAATTTTACCCATTTTTGGGCAGATTAAAAAAGAGGATGACTTTGAAATCTAGAGGATTGTCCAGTTTGGTGATGAAGTTATTTCATTTTAATCCGGTAATGAACCATGTATCCATTCGATTAGGCATTATCCACCTTCAAAATCTCGTTAATGACTAAACCCCATTAGTTTTAGGCTTATCTGAAGAATTGCACTCCAAAAGGAGGAGATAGAAGCTGGATTTTTTGTATGTTATATGCGTCGCGAGAAGGTCTCGCTCTGTCAGTAAAAGTGAAGTATGTTACGAATGTGACGTGACTGAGGTCTTATTCCGTCAGAGTCTTATTCCTTGGAAAGGAATTTGACTAAACAAGTCAAAGATTTGTTTTAATGTTTTCTTTCGCAAAAAGTAAAAACATTCCAAAAATTGAAGGATAAATTAGATGGTGTCTCGTTCGGTGAGAAAGTTTTAATGGGACCGTTGAGAATACGGATTCATAGTTGAGTAAGACATTCATGAACACGCATGAAGTTTTTAGTGAGGTCCAAAATCCGAATAAATAGAGAAGAATTTATTTTTTTTTGTCAAAGATCGACGACAATTTGGAAAAAAATTTGAGATATCTCATATTGTTGGGCTAGTAAATCAGATCCCTATCTGGTCATATTCCGTAATTTACAATTTTATATTATGGGAATTAGTTAGATTCAATAATTTAAGGTGGATCGGTTTTCAAAATGGCAACGCGACTACAATCATGGAAACTGTTCCCAAATTATTTCCTATTTGGAATGATAAGTTAATTTATTAAAAAAAAATCTTGGTTATCTCGGACACTTATCCGAATCAAGTAGACGTTTTCCCAACCACAAACAACGGGGTTTTCCACTACTACTCCCCAAATGTATTTTATGTTTTTGTGTCGAAGACTGAAATCTAGTCACTAATTAAATTAGTTGAAGCACATTATTTGGACTCATGATTATGCAATTGCAGTTTCATACATACATACATTGGAGCAGGGGATGCAAAATTGTCTTCAATTTGTAACTGAACGCGTGAAATCTGCAGTTTTAGTTTGACAAGAAAATTACTTGAATTCTGCATCAAACTAATGTCTTAAATCTATTTGGTACTATCCCTCACTTTCACGTTACTTACATATCCCGAGATAAAAATATTGAAATTTCTTTAAATTAGCAATCTCTAATTCCTTACCAACTCTCACCGCCGCAGGAACTCTGGCCTCCACTTTCGGCATGAATAAACACACCGAAATGACTACTACTTTGTATAAGATCCACATTTTGGTAACAGTTTATCCAAAAAATCTCGCAAGTTTCACTTTAATAAATAGTCAGAGAAGGTTTTACTATTCTTTTCTATAAACTACGATCGCACGGGCGTTTCATGAAATTTAAATGTGCACCCCTGCCCTAAACACAACAATTTACAGAGATTATCTTCTTTTTACGATTCTTCACACCCGTAGCCGAGCTGTCCTCGTGTAACAACAAGTCATAAAAGAAAGCTACCGATATTGTTACATCGGCTGTTAAAAACGGTGGGGATTTTGCTATCCAGATTTTGCACACCCACATCAAACGACGCCTCCTTCCGCCGACGGGCCAAATGGCTCTATTTATTTAGCCAGAGAGTGAAAAGAAAAGAGCAACAAAACCACTTAGCGTTTTTCTTTCTCTGTGTTTGTATACAGTTTTAATCCCAACTTTCTTTCCGCACACACGCCACCAGAACTTGCACTTGTGGCGTAAATTGAAGATAAATAAACCAACTGGAGAAGAATTGAGGAGCAATTTAGTACTAGTGCGCAGATTCTCTATTTTGCTTGGCTCTGGGCTGTTGAACTCTGCTTGCTGGCAAATGGACCGGAAGTCAATCGGCTGCCGCGTTTGATAAGCAGCGAGCTACTGATACGATATGAAGGAGAAGAATACTACGAAGAGGAGAGGAGAGGAGACAGATGGATTTGGCTGGAGAAGAGAATCCAAATCTACTGCTTTTTGAGAGAAGCGTCGAGACAAAGTCTAAAATGGAACTGATCTCGTGATCTCGTTTGGGGCTTTAAGTCAAAGGAGAAGAAGAAGAAGGAAAAAAGTTTCAAAATGGTACTCCTACGACGACTTCATCATGGACCAAATTTGGACCTGGAGGAAGAAGAGGGTTGGCCGGATAAAGGAGACAAGAGCGTCAAATCGTAATGAATTAAAATATTATAATGGGAACTACTGAAGTCTGCACCTTTCAAACCATTTCATAAGAATAATTCAAATATTTTCCATTTTGGCATTTTACTTACCCATGTACAATTTTTGCTCTTGAATAAATACGCGTTTTTTGTATTTTCTTCGATCAATCCTCCATAATCTAAATATTAGTGAGGAAAATCGAATCTAGTCTTAATTTCATACGCATATTTTTCAGTATATGGATCCATCCATTCCTTCAACTGGATTCGAGTCGATAAGATATTTTCGGTATTTTTAAAGATAAACGGGCCGAGTGAAAATAAGTGGGAGTGGAAAAAATGGGAGAATCTTCTCCTCTGTACGAGGCAGATTAAGGAAAGCTTATTCATGTGCTCCCTATGGGGTGTGTGCCGTGTGGGGTTGGGTTTCATATCCTTTCCTCCTAAGTGAGGCAATAATAATGAAGGTCTAAGATTTCTTGTACGTCTAACTTTACGTCTTCTTCGTCGCATGGGGATGAAGACGAAAGACCACATGTGTACTAAATTAGCAAAAAGTAAAGTAACTTTTAAGTTTTAATGATGACTTATTACGAGAAGGGCTGCTACATATTAGACTTTGCAGGAAAATCCATAGGACCAAAAGACATTTCAGTACGTTTGTTCTTCTCATATGTAGTTGTACATCACCCCCGAAGAGCATATGTACATACATGTCGACCTTACCCACTTTTTGTAACTTATTTATTTACTTACATATCTACAAGTCTTACATCTTAAACATCTTTTACACGATATGCACCGATGAACGCGCAACATTTCTCAAATAAATGGGACGAAGGTTTGGTGTGTGTTAAATATTTAAGCCTGAAATTTATGATGGGCACGGATTATTATGAAAGAGTGTGCAATAATAATAAGTCCAAATTCTTCCATGTGGTCCACTTCCACTTAACACCCTGGGAAGTCGCGGAGATAATCGCTTTTCAAACTTTTTTCTGTTTAATTCCTATGTATCCCAGTTGAAGAATTCCTGTTGAAGACACGGATTCTGGAGGTGTCCAGTAAAACACACCGATTTGAGATAAGACCGGATTTCGGATGCCATCCAGCATAAACCAATAAATTACGTAATCTACATTTGTATTTTTTTACGCTTGTGCATCTTGTCGGGATAAATTACTTTCCGTTTACAAACTGTCACAGGTCTGCCCATTGTTGCATAAATATCGAGTTGAGATCGAATCTCTTGTCCCACAACAACAACAAGCAAGTCGAATACAACAAACAGATGGTTTCCTATCCAGGGTTTCCGACATGGCAATAATTGCAATTGTTACTTGATTAGAAATTAGGGGAGCAACCCAATTCTAAAAGTTCTATACATACATAAGTAAGTACACACGCCCTTATTCATTCAGTTAAGTACACACTATTTCATTCTCTCGCCTTAGTGCTGGCTGGATAATAAATCGATGTTTTTTTTCAAAATTAAATGGTAAATGTCAGATCGGACAAAAAATATTGACTATTTATTTATTTCTTCTCGTAGTTCAGGTTGGTCTTGTCGTGTGACGTGTGTTACCATAAATTATTTATACGATTCCCTTGAAGTAAAATTTTGAAACATAGAAATTTTGAAACTTTGTCTTGAAGAATTTGAGATGACAATTTCGTACAGGATAAAAACGCTAAAACTTTCAAAATGTCCGACTTTAAGAAAATGAAGAAAAATTTGATAATAAGTCACTAAAATTCTAAAAATTATTTTCATGGCGTCAAATAGTACCATTTTTCTTTGTACATACTAATTTTCGTAAAACTATTGATTTGCATCCACCCTTTATTTTCATACCCCAAAAATCGAGTCTGAAGTTCAATAAGCATGAATAAATTTGCACATTGGCAACATGTTACATACACCAGGAATTTTCATGCTCAAAGCCATGCATCCCATTTTTTACGATCCATTTGGTCATAATTCTTTCATCGCGTTTAATTATGTTTTCGATAATCCTAATCTGCTCTCCTGTCCTGGCTAATGTTCATTTCTCACTTTGCTTGCTCCAGTAATTAAGCTCAAGTGTAATAAATAAGATGAAATGAGAACACCATATGGCGTGATCTCTGATCTCTCTTTCACTAAACTCCCGTGTTTCACGCGTTCATTTTCATTATTATTATGTTATCAAGCTTCGTCGTTGTTATCGTCAGGCGGGCGGGATGACGTAGCTCATGACCGATGAGTGACGTTATCTCGGATGGAAAGTGAGTTGTGGTCATAATTTAATCATCACAACGTGAAGAGAAAGTAATATTCAAAGAAGACTGGTAAACTACCGAAATTCAATTGTGTGTACCATCCTTGACACAAAATGACAGAAAGAATAACTTCCATTCTTTTGGTTTTCACAAAAAATGAAGAAAAATTGAGAAGTTTTCATAAAAATAACCATTCTTGGACGTCTGATCATTATCATTATATTTTTTTACGTAAAAAGCACAATCATATTCACGTAGAAATTAACACCTTTATATTGTCGTCTTCATTATCCGAGTGAATTGAATTATGAATATTTTTTTGAATGAGATGAATATTTTACTCATTTACAAATTTAAACGCTGGAATATTCTTTTTAAGAAAAATAATATTGTCTATTGGTCCTTAGATGCATAAGACCAAAGTTTTTATTCATGTCCAAATATAAAGAAATAATGACCGTCCGAAGTGTTAGTTTTTTGAAATTAATACAACCTCACTTGACTTATCTTTCTTTGAATTGTCGATCTTAACTGTTGATTCTTTACTTGAATTTAAATAATACGTTGGCATGCATGCACCTTGGCAGAAGGATTGGAAAAGATAAATCTTTATGCCTTGAGAACAGAAGAATCCAAGAGCTTTATGGGACAGCAGCTCCTTGACTTTTGTCAGGAAAAAAGAGAATCCTCTCATTCTTTTCACAGAAGCCGTTTTCTTCAGATAGGACAGGACGGGACACTTTGATGAACAAGTAATGGAGGAATTATAAGTAGAAAGAAATTTAAATAAATAAAATAAATGGACCCCACCATTCACCCGAGCGGAGTAACTGAAACCTTGCCCAACTGTAATTTGGTACGATAATGTCCAACTACTTGTTTTAATTGTTCAAAAAACTGGCCACCACACACACACAACTGGAGAAGCTTTGTATTCATGTAAATTCGTGGAAAATGTGTGGATTTTAATGCATGTAAAGTAACGTCGATTCTTTCATTAACTTACAATTAGTGGAAGTGCGTATGTTTTGTTGCATGAATACTTAAGTAAGTGGACTCTGAGCTGCTTATACATATTCTGGAAGGAAATGGGATATGCATACGAAGAAAGAAAAAGTTGATGCATTAAAAACATAAGTTGAAATAACTAATTAACAGTTTTTAGGTGTGTTCATTTTAATTAATTTGTGAAAATTGGACATGATGATGGAGGAGGAATGAATACATTTTATTCTGGGAGGTTTTTCTCCTCCATCCACCATAATTTAGGATTTCGGAGGATTAAAAAACACTTCTGCATGCCGAGCGAAAAGCGAGTAACGTTCAATCTTCTAATGGGTTTTAGTACTCGGAATAATAAACTTTAGCCCGATATTTTAAAAATACTGTGGAAAACATATCCATTTACTGTAAAAAATAAAGTTCATCCATAATCCTCTAGTTTTTTTGCAAGGTTATTTCACACGTGTGCATGCAATTTGCATAATCCTGTTCGGATATTACAATTGATTCCTGATTTCTTATTTGTATCATTGATACAATGTGTGAAAACAGCGTTTGAAATGCGTATCCGACCTCAAAGACCACCGACCTATTCGGAATTCGTGTTGAGTAATTCGATTGGCATTATTTATTAAACGGTACATTCCCAGCGAAACATCAGCAAAACACTTTTTGTCAACACATCGTCAACTACAGTGAGCCATCAAATCACCCCCTTCAACAGTCAAAGGTCTCACGCTACAGTATTGCATGCACTCCCATTAGACGAGATTAAATGCAAAATTACACCAACGTAGGAGAAGCTGAGACTAAACAAAAAAAGAAGAAAATAACAAAACAAACTTGAAATTGGCATCATCCATTTCTTTCAATCGCTCTTTCTGCAAATGTTGACGGCATCTGGGTATGAATCGGTCGGGTAAGATTTGTGCACGAATGACGCGATCACTGGAACTACAAATCTTTACGGGAAATATGTTAAGGTACAAAAAAAAAACTTTGCAAAAAAATCGACTCGTGCGTGACAGGTATTTTACAAGGACGGATTTACAACTCGATCTGTCACCCGAAGAATCCAATCCTCAATATCCCTCCGATATCCGAATAGATTATTTCACTCTGATACTTTCGTATGCCAATTTTCTCCATCTCATTCGTTTCGAAGTCAACTTCCTCTCAAGAATTTGAAAGGTTTTGAAGAGAAGTCATTCGTATTATACTTGACTGACTGGCATCAACTCAAAAATTTGGCAAATCTCGTAAAAATCTGGGCTCCATTAAAAACTCGGATAATTTAAAAGCTATTAACGAGTTGAAAGGGTTTGGAAGAAATATTGCAATTTTTTAATGGTTTTGTTTTTGAGCATTGAATAAATAAATAAACTTCCGGTTTTTAGGTCACTGAAATAGTTGTCGGTTTCTTTCATGAAATTATCTCCGCATTCGAGAGAAAAATCGCAAATCATGTAAACACGGCTCACAAAACTTTGTCTCTTCCACTGTACTCCTCCCTTATCCGGAAGAAGGCTTATCCATCCTTCCAGTTTACATCTCTCTCGATAAAAAAGTAAGAAATCTGTCACGCCA